CTTTTAGGACTTGGAACCCTGAAAATGGCTCAGTATCTATTCTCAAATCCTTTATTCTTAAAATTCAATGTTAGACCTTTGTTTATGTCTACCTGTTGAGGATGATTAGGGGTGCGGCGGATCTGGCAGACTGGTGGGTGTGTTGATGTTTCTCAGTCCTCAAAGCTAAGATCTCAACTCCACCTCTTTGCCTGTTTCCAGAGAAGTCAGAAGTTAGTCAGTTTGCCCAGCATGGAGACTGACATGTCTGAGACTGACAAGAACAGCTAATCAGAAACCAATGACTGATACCACTGAAACCAAGTCCATGTGTTAGGCAACATAGTCTAGGATGTTGAATCAAAACTGACTCAGCCTGGTGGTTGCATTATGTAGTTTAGTTTTTTATCCAAATACGACTTTACAGGTACTTGAAGTTGTTTTCCTCCACAATTCACTTTTTTTCTACACAATATTTGAGGATGATCACCTAACAGCTTAAGTTACTTCACTAATGAAGCTTTGAATAAACCTAATTCACTAAAAAATGCATTAAGATGTCACTTTTAAATCAAATGCTCAGGTATGGACTGAAACTTGGAATCTTAAAGAGGTGGTGTTGTGCTTTTTTTGTATTTTGAAAACAAATGTCATGTTAAAAAATTCGATGTAATTACTATACATGAGCAAATTTTCAGATTGCAAGGTTGACATGTGTTTTGTAATCTCCAGATGAGACTACAGGCTGCTCTGGATGGCCTGTTCGAAAAGTCCCACGAGAATTCAGCGACATCAATACGACGAGATTTGTGCAAATTGGGACATCATCAGACAGTGAATTTCCTTAAAAGGGCAGATCTGTCATTATATGAAATGAAACACAACTTTCATTTCACAACTCTATTTCACAACCAAAACAATCAGCCAAAAACCAAAGCCACGTTTTCCTCTCGAAACGTGACGAACATGATTGATTTTTCATTTAAAAAGAGGCTGATAAAAGTCGTGTTCGTGGTAAATCTCTTCTTGTCTGCAGTTATTCAATGAAAGTATCTATCCAATCAGAGCCTATCTGTGGTAGTATCAGTGACCCTAATAGTTTCTCTAGATATCATCAAGAGCTATTGAATCCAAAGGAATCCCAGCATTTCCTTCACGTCACGTTAACTTGGAAATAAGGCAGTAACTTTTGAGTGATCTGTAAGTAAACTGGGAATTGTTTTAATCAGGAAATGTCTTTTAACTTTCTCTCTGAACCAACTTCATGACTCTTTTTCTTCACATCTGTAACTTTGCAAGAATTGGGCACATCCTCTCCTGCAGTCTTTTTAACTTCTTGATTAGATCACAATTCTTCACTATCAGGTACCGTTACGTTTTTGAAATCCTATGAAGCCCTCTGACCTTTAGAGCCTTGTTTTTGCTTAATCGAAGTGCATGCCATGACTTCAACCACTGTTAACACTAATGTCAGTCATAAGTGTACCATTAGTACACTTCCTGTTGTATTTTTGTTGCTGTCTGTCTACTGATTGCAGAAGGTTTCTAGCAGGGCTGCAGGATTAATCAATTTTAAATCGTAATCGGATTTTTTTATTATGACAATGTTAAAAAAATTTAAATCATCAAATTGATTTTCCTCTTTATCATGTCTTGCGCCTCCAGGCCACCGTAGGCTACCCCTTCCTGCGAGAGCGCTCCCCAGTTCCCACACACACCAGTGTAAACAAACATGACGTTTGCAAAAGAAGGCGATAATTTTGCGGCTGAATAGGATGAGAGCGAGTCAGTCATGTGTAATTGGTACGACTTCCATGTTTTTGAGCACGCAAGCATTTGTTCCAAAATCCCTTACATGAAAAGTTCAGCATTTGGGGATAAAGACTTTAAACTGCAAATACATCATTATTTGCCTACTGTGTCAGAATAATTGAGTACACTTAATATAAGCTGCATTAACCTGCCAAGTCCATACATGGATTTTATTTTAAGATATATCTTGTTGTTGTTGTTGTTGTTGTTTTTCTCGTTGCGTTTGCAGCCATTCTTCCTGAACCCTTATTTTTGGCTTATGATATCTTAAAAATAAGTTATATATCTAAACTGATGAGTAAAGATACACTCAGTAAGACTTGAGTTTCTTTCGCTTTTCTTTTGAGAAACATTTAAAGAGAAATACTGTCAGAATGTTAAATATGCCAGCAGTAAAAAGACTAAAATCATGACGTAACTGTTTGCTTGGCTTCATCCACAGAAGAACAAATCTTCCTACTGGTACCTTTCAAGCCCATTAATCAATATATTACATCTTGTTTGTTTAATCTGTAAAAGAACTGGAGGAAGTGTCTGTACCCGATGTAGAAATCGATCCATACGTAACAGCAGCTTTTTGGAGTTATACTTTGGTTTTTGTACCAATCTGCACAAAAAAATAAGTGTTATCTTCTTTGAGGGACTTTGTGATGAAGGACGGACTGGACTAAGTTTGTTATTTTCTGCCTGTCATCTAAACTGGCTGCTGTCCATGAGACGACAAATAAGCGTATTTGAAGAAAATACGGGGAAAAGAAAAAACATTTTAAGTTTAAAATATATGTGGGGGAAAAAATTACAAATGGCCACAGATGCCAGGCGATGCCAATGAGACGGACAGGAAACGATCCATATGTGCAACACCTGAGAAGGCTGTTGCTCACTCCTCAATAAGCAGCAAACATGAGTCAGAGTTGCTCTGATGCTACTTGAGAGTGTGTGAACGAGCATTTTCACAGAGTAACAACATGGGGGCTTCCGTGCAGGCTATTTAAGTCATGCCAGCTCAGAAGGGGAAGTGTGTGAACGCACATGTGTGAGCGTGTGTGTATGCATGAGTGGAGAGAGTGAGACCCATGCTGTAGTTCCACAGCAGGCAAACCCACTAACCTCGAATTATTTTTTAACCATGAGTGTTTGATACGTTTTATAGACGTTTTGTTTTTCAATGCAGTCACTACCTGCTTGATTTGCAATGAATAGAGAATTTGCAGAATCCAATCATCCCCTATCCCTGTGCACTAGTGTCCCAAAAAGCTGTTTAAGTGCTCTTTTGGTGCCCCTGAAGTATACAGAACAAAACAAAATGCCCTCTTAGGTGGATAAAAAAATGCCAAAACATTTTCTGGGTGCCCGTCTGATAAATGCACTAAAAATCCTCCCCTCTGAGCATTTCTTCAGGGAAGTAAATGTGGTAAAAAAGTGCTCTCCTGGTAGATAAAACATGAATTAAGTGTCTTCTGTATGCCCTACCAGTGAAAAGAGCATAAAAAAGTGTCTTTTGGATAGCCATCCAGAGGATAAACAAATAATCCAAGTGGTTTCTTGAAGTTATATTGATAAATAAAACACTAAATATGTTCCTCCTATATGCCCTACCGGAAAACACTTCATGACATAAATGCATTCAGAATGCCATCCCAGTGAAAACAGCTAATAAGTAGTGCCCTCTGGGTACCTCTCTAGTTAATAACACATGATATAAGAGTTCCCTTAATGTCCTACCTGTGAAAAATAAGATAAAATAAGTGACACCTGGATTCTCTTCCAGCAAATAACACATAAAACACATGTTCCCTGAATGCCCTACCCGAAAAAACGTGGAAAAACATCCTCTCTTTATGCCCCTGAAGTAAATAAAATATGATACAGGTGCGTCCTGAATGTCCCACCAGTGGAAATAATGGAATCAGTGCCCCCTGGATGCCTTTTTAGTAAATACTAAAATAATACATGTGTTCCCTGAATGCCCTACCTGTGAAAACATTGAAGGAGTAACCTCTGTTTGCCTCTGTAGTAGATAAAATATGATACAGGTACTTCCTGGATGTCCTACGAGTAGAAATAATGGAATTAAGGTCCTCTGAATGACATTTAAGTAAATATAAAATGATACAGGTGTTCCATGTATGCTCTACCTATAAAACATTGAAGAGGTATCCTCTGTATGCCTCTGAAGTAAATAAATTATGATACAGGTGCTTCCTGAATGTCCTACCAGTGGACATAATGGAAATAGTGCTCTTTTAGTAAATTTAAAGATAAAAGGACTGTTTCCTGGATGCCCTACCAGTGAACGCTACATGAAATTAGTGCACTCTAGATGTCTTACCATTAAATCTATCGTGCAATCGCGATACTATTGATGCCCTTTAAGAGCCACAGACCAAATCATGATACAGGTGCTCTTTGAATGCCCTATCAGTGAATAAAACCTAAGATGACTGCCCCCTGGAGGCACTTCCACAGAAAAGAATGAAATAAAGCCCCCTCTAAAGTCCTTTTTTGATTGATGAATAGAAAATTAAATAGCTTCAAAATGCTGCCAGGGTCACTGGCTGACTTCCTGCGCACTGGGGCACCACTGCATACAGGAGGTGCCCTTTTCTTTTTTCTGCCCCTGCACCTCAAATAGCCCAAGTACGGCACTGTAAGAGGTCTAAGGGAAATATTTGGAAACATTCGAATTCAATCAGATTTTAGGAGATTTATTAAGTCAGCAGTCTGCCAAATTCTAACGCACTTTGATTAAAAATGAGTTTAATTGTGATAAAATATTCAAAAGAGAATTGCACTGAAAATGCGCAGTTACCCCCCTTCACCCCTCTACAAAGAACACACACTTAAAAACACAAACAAAGCAAACACACACACACACGACCTGCAATCGGTCAAATATTTGCCCACGGTGCGGAAATGTGGCAGTAGTATTTGCTTTGCCAAAGTTTCGGTTCTCCCCGTCCCTCTACAACACGGTTCAGGCGAACCGCGTCACCTCCGATGTGGCCTGTGTTTATTTATAAAGCGGAGGGGTGGGGGGGGGGCATTTCCTCGGTCTTTCTGAGGGCCATACGATCCTCCCAACGTGGACCCATAAATGAAGTGGGCTCGACGGCCACACCATGCAGCTTCGGCCCCTGATTGGTTCGGTGTAGGCAGGAATAAACACTCTCAGGGTATATATAATGGCGTGAAGGTGTGACACTTCCAAGAAACGAGAAACTCCCAAGATAATAAAGAAGAAAAAAGGAGCTGCTGTGACTCTAGTTTAGTTTGTATTATTTAGTTTTGAACATAAATCTAGATTTGAGGATGAGGGCGCAGATCCAAAAAGTTCCTCAGATCGTGGAGCTGCTGAAAAAGAAGTCTGTGGGGCTGCAGCACTTCAAACCCACATCCTCAGTGTGCGTCCTGGAGGAGAAGGATGCTGTGGAGGCTGTGCGCTGCCCGCACGCTGTCTCCAGAGCGCCCAGCCTGGACGCGATCCCGGGACCCACCAACTGGCCTTTTGTGGGCAGTCTGGTTGATATCCTGAGGAAAGGCGGTCTGACGAGACAACACGAGGCTCTGGTACCGAAACAATACTGACATTTTCTACAAGTTTTCCAATATGTTTTCTCGTTAAATGTTTAATTCTCTAACAGGAATAAAAACCTGCCTTATGTGTTACATCTGATTTTTTTTAACGGTGTCATCTTTCTCTCACAGGTCGACTATCATAAGAAGTTCGGGAAGATTTTCCGGTTGAAACTGGGCTCCTTTGAGTCGGTGCACATTGGCGCACCTTGCTTGCTGGAGGCGCTCTACAGGCAGGAGGGAAACTACCCTCAGAGGCTGGAGATCAAACCCTGGACCGCATACAGAGACATGAGAGACGAGGCTTACGGACTCCTCATCCTGTAAGCACGTTTTCCTTTCTTTCTCGATTTCTATGGAAAATGCGCACAGCTCGCCAAAACCAGAGAAAGGGGCTGTGAAGGTTTTTCTGTGAGAGCTGAAGTCTGATCCAGAGTTTTGGGTTTGCAGGGAGGGAGAGGACTGGCAGAGAGTGAGGAGCGCTTTTCAGCACAAACTCATGAAGCCCACAGAGATCGTCAAGCTGGATCGCAAAATTAACCAGGTAAGCCTCATTTAAAGTTATCGGACTCGAATATTCCGATATTATTTTCTTTGACTCATAGTGTTTGTCCGTGAATGCAGGTGTTGGGCGACTTCGTCAACAGGATTGGAAAAATAAACGTCGAAGGAAATATTAAGGACTTGTACTTCGAACTGAATAAATGGTCTTTTGAGAGTAAGTACACAAACGCATTATCGATTAATCGTCTAGATGTCATGCCGATCCTTTATTAAGTCCGTTAAATTCCTCAAATGGTGAAAACAATCGGTCGCAGGTGTTCAAACCTCTGAGTAGTCTTCCCAAAATAAGTGAATTTCTTAATTGCCTTTCAAAGTAAAAGCATGGAAAAGAAAGAAATGTCATTTTTTGCTTATAAAATAACTCAAAATAGTTACAAATTGGTTGGTACACTTGTTTGATTGTATGTTATATTCATAGTAAAGCTGCTGTGACAGTCTAGTATATGCACCATGCTGTGTATGTACCCTTTATTTTGAAACTGTATTCTTTTTAATGCATTTACAATTAGGCTAAACGACAGGAATCTATGGTTGGAAAACGACTAATTGCCTTTACTCACGTTACAGTTATGGCTACTTGTTTGTATGCATGTACTTTTTGACTATGCAGTTAGGACTCGTACTAGTATTCTGCTTAAAGTATTGTACTTTACTAATTTTGCACTGAAATGGTCAATAAATGGAAACATATAAGCTTTAAAACCAACTGCTAGCAAACAGCTGACTGTAAGAACTCAAATGTTACCAAGTGAATTTGTCTTAATTCTAATAGTAATGAAATGATAATTCCAGTTAGCATAACTATAGGACGGGTTTGAATACAAAACTTCAATTACAAATTTGTGCTTTTACTTTGACTCGATTAGAGAGATGCTAATTTTGTTCAAACTGAAGTGAGATGTCAGTAAAGCAGTTGTATTTTTGACTCTTTGAAAGCGTCTACCTAATGTGATTGCGTTCAGCTCAGGTTCTGATTTCTAATCTTTGCCTTTTTCGTCATTCAGCGATCTGCCTGGTCCTCTACGACAAGAGATTCGGTCTACTGCAGGAGACAGTCAACGAGGAAGCCATGGACTTCATCACAGCTGTGAAAACGGTGAGTGTTTGCTGTTATTCTGCGTTTCATGAGGATCGTTTGAGAGACTGAGTGAGTCCGCAGAAAGTGATCGCAGTTCATCAGGTTCATCAGTGTCACTCTAACACTCTCACTGTATTTACTGGGCCAAACCAATACCATCCACACACAGTCAGGGCAAGATAAGTGAAGGCTCATAAAGGTCTCACAGGGCAGTGGGTGCGAGAAGAAAGCCTTGACCAGGATCGCGTCAAAGATTTCCAATAATGATGACGATGATGATGATAGGGTTTTTTTTTTAATCGTCTGTTTTTTGTCTTCTTCTGCAGATGATGAGCACGTTCGGCATGATGATGGTCACGCCTGTGAAAGTGCATCAGAACCTCAACACCAAAATATGGAAGGACCACACTGCAGCATGGGACCGCATTTTCAGCACAGGTACAAAACACAGACGCGCATTTATTCAGCACTACACAAACACGTAGATTAAGCTCATTTTACACAATTCAGGTTCAGTGTGCCTACACCTCTGCGTGACGTACGGACCAGTTTGAGCTCAGTTCCAGTCAGAGGGTAGATCGAGGAGATAAGAGGGGAGGGTGGGTTTGAACTTGGTGCCTCACTGTTGAGTGTTTGTACTTGGCACTCGGGGTAAACGGCGGCCAGAGTTGTAGTAAACCGCATGACCTAAGAGGGAGAATTCCGCCAAATATTTGTAGTAGATTGGAGGTTGACGGGAGGAAGAAGATGATGCTGGGTGAGCTGTTTATTTGAATGTTGCCTGTTACAACCTGTCGGACCCCGAAAACACACAAAAATCAAAACAATCTCCTAGGAAAAAGCGCTTGGAAACAGAGTGAGGAAGCTTCATGACAAATTTAGACAAACTTATCACTCTGACTGGGTGTGTTTTGGGGCGTTATGTGATTTACACGACGCTCAGCACTCATGAGGTCACCACTCACATAAACATTTAGAGATCAAACAAGTGCATCTGAAGCAGCCGTACAGAAATAGACTCACGGACTCACAACACTGAGATCATATAGATGTCATGTCATGTGAGGACATTTGGCAGCAAACCTTCAAATGTTAAAATAGAAACTTGCTTTAAATATTGTGTAGGTAGCCGGCAGCATATAAAATTCAGAGCATAAATCATACGGGGTGTGTACCCAAAGATGGCGTTAGTGTCGGTGTTGATATAGGTGAAGGACGTTTGGGCATTCAGTCAGGGAGATATATAGCTAATATCATCAGGATCAGGCATGGTATGTCAGTAATACTGTCATCACAGCCCTCTGACACCATCGGTGTTGGGAGTGCCGAAATACAAAAGTGCCTAAAAGTACTCCCGCTGTAAAGACGAAAGAAATGTGTTCTTCTTTTGAACCACTGATGACCCAAACAGCTGCTAAAATTTAACCTTTACCTCAATAAGTGACTCTAATTGTTCATGAAACATCAACATTTAAGAGACTATTACTTAGAAAATTGACCATGTCCTGATTTTGATGTGTGCAATGGGACTCTCTGGTTTGACTTTGGCGCCCCCTCTGGACAAATCCAGACGATTAATCCTTTTGTTGGTGGCAGTCAAACCAGCTACCCCTGCAATGAAGGCTTTAACAGGAGTCAATGAGTTCATGAGTTATGAGTTAATCAATTTTAAATCGTAATCAGATTATTTTGTTATGACGATGCTAAAAAAAATTTAAATACTCAAATCAATTTTCCTCTCTATCATGTTTCGTGCCTCCAGGCCATTGTAGGCTCCGCAGTTCCCACACACATCAGTGTAAACTGTAGTTTGGTGAAGTTGTCACTGAATAAAAATCTAAATCGAAAACTCAGAAAAAAAATCAGAATTTTATTGTTGGCCCGAATCGTTCAGCCCTACTACAAAGTTTAAAAAGGACAGCTTGAGACAAAGAGGAAAGATCAGAAACACCGACTGCACGATAGAGTTGAATCCTAATCTGTGAATTCAGATGTTTGAACTCATCTTCTGCTCTTGTTTACTCAGCCAAAGTCTACATTGACAAGAAGATGAAGAGGAATGCTGTCAGAGCTCCTGACGACTTGATCGGCGAGATCTTACACAACAGCTGTCTCTCTAAGAAGGAGCTGTACGCGTCCATCGCAGAGCTTCAGGTCGGAGGAGTCGAGACGGTAGGTTACAGCGCAAAGATGCATGTTGACTTTATAGTAAAAAAGTGGCATTTGTGGGTAATATAGTTCATGTCTATCATACTCAGAGAATAGATTTTATGAGCGTCTTCCAAAGATGACAAGATTTCAACCACAAACAAGCACCTTTTGTATCCCAGATATCCTGGGCCAAAGTGGTCGTAGCGCCCAAAAGTCAAACACTTCCTCTGAGGCCTCGTCCTCTTTTCCCATCTTTTTAAAAATCTTTATTCTCACAGATAAACTATTAGATCATGACGTAGCTGCAGTGCGTCAACAACACAAGCTAACTTTTCAAATGTTTTACCTTTCGCCTATTTTCCCTCGAGTAGGGAAAGGGGGAAGAAAAAAAAGAAAACTGTCCAGCCTCCAGTGCAAACAGGTGCTGCAGTTACAGTGCTTCAAAGCAGAAAATGAATGTGGTGTGGATGTAACTGAGGAGCCTTTGAGGAACCCAAAACATTCCTCAGCTCCTTTCAGGACCCCACTGAGGAATGCACTTAGAGTAGCTGCCTCAATAAGTGACATCCCCTCACTGACTCCTTCCCTCTTTTTTCTCTCCCTACCTCTCTCTCTCCCTCTCTCTCCCACCCGGGCTGTGTTTATGTTTCTCAGACTGCCAACAGTATGCTGTGGGCTATTTTCAACCTGTCACGTAACCCTGACGCCCAGAGGAAGTTGCTGGAGGAGATTAGAGAGGTGGTGCCCCCCGACCAGGACCCGAATGGAGAGCACATCAAGAGCATGCCCTACCTCAAAGCCTGCCTGAAGGAGTCCATGAGGTACGGTACCGACAGGGACCCGAAAAATAAAACAGCTACAGAGAGGCTGAGGGAGAAACAGACTATAAAATACCTGGCAACAACAAGCAAACAAAATCGCCGCCAAGATATAAAGTTATGCGACTAGAAAATTTCAATCCCCGAGTATGGTTGCCATGACGTTAAAAAAGATGTATGCTTCTTTAACCAGATCAAAACAATATTCATTTCACATGTTAGAAGTTGTGAATCGAACTTTGGATTCTATGAGGATAGTCTCATTTTCACAATCGGCCTCAAGTGGCCATTCAAGGAACTGCAGCTTTTGACACAGGAACACAAAAACTTTGAATAAATCTAGTTAAAGCTCCTGTGAGGAGTTTCTTTGACATCCGTGAAATTTTCTGGCACTTATGATTGACGATTTTTACATTCGAAATTTTTGTCTGAGGGTGTAAGTGTGAGCCAGGAAGCTAAGAAGTAGCCCCGCTTTAAAGTCCAACATAAAATAATCTCAGTTAATAAAACATTTGACTGATAAAAGTCAAATAGTCAAGTTTTAAGTTAAGAAATGAATGCAGTATTAGGGATGAAATCGAGAACTGGTTCAAAATGGTTCAAACCATCAACATTATTTACATTTTATCTTAACGATTCCCTGAATGAGCCAGTCTTCACGAACTAAAACAGAGACTTTGAGGAAAAAGACATGGTGGATGGTACGAAAAGTAGGCAGAAATGATCTATAGCATGGCTTCATTTTACTAAGAAAGATGACAACATATTTGTGTAGCGTGAACTGAGATAGAAACCTGTAAAAAACACTGGAAATTGTGCGCGTAGTAATGTCCTTTTTTTGGGGATCCAGAATATGGTCACGCTAATTTGACTCAATACCAACCAACATAAATGTTGTATGAATATTTTTTCCTTTGATTATTTTAAGACTCTCACTTAAAAATTTTGAGTTAACGGTGAAAACCTATAGTCTACTTTTTTAAATCAAAGAAAAGCATTGATAAGGGAATCGTTAAAGAATTGAATCGATAAGCAGAATCGATAATGGCACTGATATTGATAAACTCTTACTAATTCCCGTCCCTATGCAGCATTAAAAGATATTACACAGCGTACATTTACCTCTAAAAGTAGATTTTACTGCAGTTTTCAAACAAAATCACCCGCCTCATGATAATTTAACTCAGTACCACAGTGATTAAACTCACACACATGACTGGCTTTAAAAGGAGCTTCATGAGATGAAGAGGCATGACCAGTAACGACCAGTGGTCCCAGCTTAAAGCGTGCCGTCCAGTCACGTTCAGATGGCTTCCAGACCCATATATGGTCCACTTTCTCCCTTCTTCTGGTGCAGTCATACATGCTATTTAAGGCTTATGCCATAACCACATCACGCAGGGAATGTAAATGACCTCTGACTGGAGATTATATCCCGCCTCATCTCGGACTGGGAAAAACATAGAAGTGTGCATAGCTCCGGTTAAAGAGCTTAGTCGTGTGTGTCATGCTACACTATAGCTTCTCTGAGACCGCAGTCACATACTTTGCTTTTCTCAAACTCTTACAGGTTATCACCATCAGTCCCATTCACCAGCAGGACCCTGGACAAAGACACTGTGTTGGGAGATTATGCCATTCCCAAAGGAGTAAGTGGCTTAGTTCTCATTGCCATAAACATAGCAGATTACATTCCTGTATTTGTTTACATTTGACTTGTGTCTGAGAGAAGCGTGTTACAAAAACAGGCTCATGTAACGTGCTAAATGGAGCGACTGTTAAAAGTATGAGCGAGTCAGCAAACAGCGTGAAAGATTGTTTATCTGAGGAGACAATTAACTAAACGAAATGATCGTGTTCACCTCTACAGACAGTTTTGATGATAAACAACCACGCACTGGGCTCAAACGAGGAGTACTTTGACGATGGGAAACAGTTCAAACCTGAGCGCTGGCTGCGGGAGAACTACACCATCAACCCCTTCGCCCATCTTCCCTTCGGCATCGGAAAGAGGATGTGCATCGGCCGACGGCTGGCGGAGCTTCAGCTGCAGCTGGCGATGTGCTGGGTAAGAGGAGACAAAGATCGGATCAGCTCGTAAATCTGTGTTTGAGACGAAGACTCTTAAAGTTACCAGACGTCATATCATCTCTCTTCAGGTCATCACTCACTGATAACTTGAATCTCCGCTTACCTCTCTTACAGTTGGTCAGAGACTTTGAGATCGTGGCGACAGATAATGAGCCGCTGGACTTGATCCATTCAGGACTTCTGGTTCCCAAAAGAGAACTGCCTGTCGCCTTCATCAAGAGATAAGGTGAGAAGAAAACTCAGATCTTGTGTCCTGCATGTTTGATTCTTTTCAACAAGTTTGAAACGCTGGTAATATTTTTTTCTTGAGGAGGTTAAATGTTTGTAAAATATGAGGATACTTCCAGCTAAGCTCGGTTTAATGAATAGGCAGGGGATGACAATAAAAGCAGATCCAGAACCTCATCTCGTTTCCAACTGTCAGACTCTTTCCCATCTTTAATAACTAACTGCAACTCTAATGAACATTATTTTTTTAGCCCCAAGTCACAGAAGGGTTTTACTTCCAGTGAAGATGATTTTTTCATCATCATCAACACTAATGTTGTCATATTCTGGGTTACGAGCCCCCTAGTGGTAGAAACTATAACCCATGTAACTAATTCTGCAGTTAGTTTGAATTGAATCGACTCTTAACTGCTGTATAAAAGCATCTTCAGACTCAGTATTCACCTTTTCTTTCTCCTTCTTCTCACAGGCTCCATATTCGACTCTTCTGGATGTGGAGGCAGAAAGATGATACCTCTGTTGCCATGGCCCTGATAGTCAAGTGACTCCTCGTTATTGCTGCTCTGTAAATAGAAAAGAAAAAGACACAGAAATTACTAAACATGTAATCATGCCATAAATACCTCAAACTTATTTAAAACTATTACTTATGACTGTTAATGACTGACCAAAATACCCGTTTTTATGTATAAATTGAATGTTGGACCAAGGCAGCTGTCCTCAAATCTTAATGTAATGTCGTCACTTCAGACATGTGTGTAAAACTATTACTTTTCTTGTTTCATAACTTATATATATATATATATTTAGGTCACATATGTTTATTTTTCATTGTGTATATAAAATAATAATAATAATATTGTAATATTGTACATTGTTTGTGTAGAGACATATTTTATTCACAGAAATAAAGACGTTCATAAACAGCTGGATGTTGTACCTGCGTTTATTTTTCTAACTGGTGCGACGCCAAGACGTGGACTTAAAGTCTTAAGGAGATTTGGAGGTTATATAGATTGAGTTTTTACTAAGTATTATAAAGCTTACTTTTTCTTAGCTGAGTGTTTATGTCTGTTTCTGTTTCCTTAATTCGACAGGCTCTGGTTTCTTTAGAATCTGACCCAACACAGGATTGTAATCATTAAAGGCTAATTCTGGATAATCCGTGCATTTTTACATCAAATAAATCCCATTCCCCTTCAGATGATTTCATTTTGATTGAATGCTTTCAAACAAAGCCGAGGGCCCACATACTTAAGAGAAGCATAATGTATTTCTGTGCAGGAGCCCTCAACCATGTCGGCTTGTGACTGCTTCAAATAAAGAGGCAACGTCCACTTGTGACCCGTCACAGGATCTGGAACCAGAGGAAGGACTTTCTCCTCTTGGATGGTTTTAGTCAAAGGTTTACTTTTTTTTACTTTACAAGAAGGGAGATTTACTGTGAGACGTGTCTTTTTATCCTTTTATTTAACGCTGCTTCTCCGAGACGTCAGGTCACGTCTAACAGCCACTGAACTAAAGTTACTTTTTAATTTCATCTAGTTCCAGGTGTTTTCCAGAAAATAATAACTTTACTTTAAGAATAACTTTATTTATATAGCACTTTTAAGAACAAGAGTTTACAAAGTGCTTTAATATAAAAAGAAGAGAACAACAACAAGAGAACGAAAAGAGCCGAGACAAGACTAGAACCCAGACTACATGTCCTAATGAGACATTATTAGCAATAAAATAAAAATCAGTGTAAGATATAAAAGCTTTGATGAGTGTCACATGAGCTGAGACGTCATTCTAACAAAGACATCATAAGAACCCCAAATATCCGGCCAACAGAGGAACCCAACCACAAAAACCTGAGACAAAGGGGACTATTAAAACATTTAAAACTTGAATAAGGAGAGTAAAAGGTATTAAAAAAGACAAAATCACAGAAAAGCAAGTCTATAAAAATGAGTTTGAAGAAGTGATTTAAAAGGAGTGACTGATGGAGTAAATCTGTAAACGAAAAGTAAGCACGCATGTTGCAGCAAAGAGTGAAGAAAACATAAATGTGACGTTGGTCAGGTTTGCAGATCTGAGAACACTTTGAGGAGTAAAAAAAAGATAGGAGTGGTCCTTAAAGGCTTGAAACCAAAACCCTTATACTCCTTTATTATCATCCTGGTGACTGAGTACATTTCAAAGTTCTCTTTCTCAGTTTTGGTGCCCCCGTGGACAAAAATGGTACACTTTGTCTTTTTGCTGATTTTGTCCTGAACATGCTGTTTTACAGAAAAGTAATGTGCATCACACCACTCATTGTGGACCTTTGTCTGTGAACCAAGTCTTCTGCGGTTTGCTGTTATTCTCTATGTCTGACACCTGCCCTGACTCCAGAGTTCATCTTTTAGAAGATGATTTTTTCTGAGTTTGTCTCTTATTTCCAACTAAAGCACAAAAGCTGCAAGTTCGCCTTAAATACTCTGCAACAATGCTGTAAATCTAGATTTCAGCTGTTTGCTTGCTTGCTTGCTTGCAGTTCTTGCAGGCAAATCTAGGCACTGAAAGCACAGCCCATACCAGATCCACAGAAAAAAAACTATTTCCCTGGAAGGAGAAGGGATGCTCGTTTGATAACAGCTGTGTGCACATTTATGACAGACATGAGAACTAATAGTACGAAAGTGGCTACAAGCAGTGAGTGACACTCCCTATATCAGCTTATCTTGCTATATGTTCGGACCTCATCTCCACGACAGTTTCACACCAATTCACACCTTGATTCATGCGACTCTGATGACTCTCACATGACTGCCGTGTGGCCCTAAGACTCACATGTGACCTCAGGTGACATCAACACGTGAAGCGGTCAGAAAAGGTTAGAGCGACCCTGCAAGCTTCAGCGGTCAGCAGGAATGATGCAGCCCGCTGGAAAAGAGCCAGATTATCTTTGGGATTGATCAATCCGACTCAATTATAAGGGAAATCTTTATAACAGAAACTTTAAGAGAGAAAATTATAAATAAAATAATAATAAATATATTGTTCGTATATCTCTCTCTTTCCTTAAACAATCAAAAAAACATTATCATAATACATATTTCGATTTATGGGAATAATGAAGATTATAGGGATGATATAAAAGGACAATTTGTGGAAGAAAGCGGAAAAAAAACACAACAGAGCAGGTGTGAGGATGAGATTGTACAATGCTGCCACCTAGTGGCCACAGGATGCTTGCAGACTTATTTTCATAACTGATTCAATTTGATCCTGTTACACCAGTCTTTAAAAATACAAGCCCAGTTTTTTTAAAGGTAAATCTTTAAGGTTAATGTTTATTTCACAAACATGGTGGGTCTCAATAAAAAGGACTTTCTATGTAATCATTTAAGCAAAAAACATCTCCAATTTTTATTCAAATAAGAAATATAAAGTACAATAAGTGCATATGTACACTGCATGGCATGTCCTATATAAAAACACTAACATATTAACCATATTTCATCAACATTACAATTACAATATCTATTCTTTTGCACCTATGCTTAAATTCTTAGAGTCTATATCGGCCTGTTGTGTTTTGTAATTTTTTAAAATGTTTTAATGTTTTTTAATTTCGATATCTGGACTATTTCAGGGCGGGTTTTTACTCAGTCTACGGAGGGGAGTGAGGCCTCTGTGGTTTGGAGGTTGTGCAGAGATGAGCGCGCATTTTTCTCACGCATACACAAACAGACAGACACACACACACAGAGATAGAGATAGAGAGAGAGAGAGAGAGAGAGGTAGGTTCACACCTCCTGCCTGCTCGTCATGAGCCGCAGTGACAGGAAGCGTCTGTCGTCGCTTTCTTCTCTCATGTTTGGGTGTTGGATGTTTTATTTGAGCAGCTGCTGATCTCTTCAACAGTAACAACGCAAACCGCTTATTGGTCTATTTCACTTTTTTTCACGCAGATCAGTGAGATTAAGAGGTTATTGAATATTTTCATCACTTTTGTTAGAAGCAGCATTTGAGATCTTGAAAGCTGGAGATGGCTTCAGGAGGTTTGGGGCTGACCGGGGATCTGAATCAGGACATCAGTCAGGAGGAGTTGGACTTTTCAGAACTGTTTCTGTATAACACAGCTGGAGAGGACTTCCCTGGCTCTGATCAAGGTGTGTATGAGGCAGATATCTCAAATCATATCATTTCCATAACGATCAGTTCTCTTCCTCGTACAGGGGAGAGTGGGTTAAGTTGAACCAAAGGGTAAGTTGAGCCACCCCTTGTTGCTTGGGAAAGGTAAAAGAAATTGATCATGTGACCAAATATTTAGGAGATGGGCATCAATTCATGGAGTCTGTGAAGGTTAGAAGCACATGAGTGAAGGGGTTAGACATTTATTTACAAAAAAATAACATTTTCGACCCCTGAAAGTGAATTTAGTCTGTCATCAGTTTGATTAGAATTGTGTTCAGACCAAAAAAGATCATGTAATAAATAAAAATACAGATGAATGTGAAGAAGTGACTGTTATTTAGGGAGAGAGAAGGTGAGGGAGGGCTGGGGTGGAGAGTGGGGGGTCAGCAGGGATACGGCTCAACTTACCCCACTCCTATGGTCAACTTACCCCGTTCACAGGGTAAGTTGACCAGGGGAGACCACTATTTTGGCTATATTATCAAGATTACAGTTCTGTTTACACTCATTCTGTTGGTTTTCAGGGATGAACAACATCTTGAAATATCTGCAGATTCACTAGTTAGAGACAAAACTATGATTGTCTCGATGTAGTGATCAGAAATATGAAAAATGGCTCATCTTACTCGCCCCTACTACCTTATTATTAGTGTAAAGAACGTCGGTTTAATAACGGTTTGGTTATATTTAGCAGTATTTAAGTGGCTGTGGGATTTCCATTAGGAAGCACTTGGCTGTCAGGTTCTTCTGTTCGACTGTATTCCTCCTCTTTTAAGTGTCAGTAAGTCAGAGGGACAGCAACAAGAACAGAGTCCTGCTTCTCTCACGTTTGTGAAAAAGTTCTCTTTCACACGAAAACAAGTTTTTTTTTTCTTGACATTTTAGTTGTAGTAAGATCACAACTATGACTAACTCCATCACCAGGAGGCAGTTTTCAATTTCATCCGATGAGGTGGGAAAGTTTTCTGAGTTCACTAACTGATGGCAGCACATGGACCAGCAAAGGTCATTTAGATCGAAATCAGGTTTAAGTTCTTGTTGAGTTTGAGAAAGAAAAATCTTTAAAAATACAATAAAAACTGAGCATTAAGGGTAAAGAATAGATTCAGTGTGTTGAACACTTTGCATATACAATCTAGGTTGTGTGCAGAGTGCCGCCTGATGCAACTTTGCTGTTTTCTGTCATGCAAATGCATCAAAGAGCCTCCCTCAGAGCTTCAACAGCAACGTTTTTCAGATACAGATGCACAGAAAGTTAAATATCAGGTAAATACACATAATATTTACTACTGGTGTGTATTATCTATCAGGCAGGATTGTCAAAGGGATGTAAAGACTTTGTTGAGCTGCAACCAAGAACAAATAAGCTCATGTGGAAGGTAGGGATGCACTGATCCGATATTTGAATCAGATATCGGCTCCGATATTGACAAACTAACAGGATCAGATATCGGATGAAAGATGCCGATCCAGTTTTCAAATCCAGTCTTTTTTTTTTCCTGTTAACTAATTTTTCTTTTAATATATGGTAGCCTCACCTGTTTTTGCTGCATGCTAATGTGCAGTTTGTTATTTGTTAATAAGTATTAAATAAATTTATATCTGTGATCTTTTTTTGTTGTTATTTTAACAAGGCTAATATAAAGCCTGATGTCTACACTCACAGAGCAAGGTATACAGTTCATTCATTCAGATTGGTATTGGATATCGGCCGACACGCTCAGCTCAAGTATTGGTATCCAATTGGATCGGGGAAAAAAGTGGATCTGTGTGTCTCTATTGGAAGGGAGAGTTGGTCTTTATAGACCGTAACATTTATTGATCCTGTATGTTACTCCAGCACGTCTGGACTTAAAGCCTCAACTTTACAGCGAAGCAGGGGATGTGTCCTCCATCTATGAATTAAATGTATGAAATGAAAATAATGAATTCGGGTCTTTCACTGAAAACAGAAGCCAACAGTAAAACGTGGACGTATCTCCTGAGATTCACACGTCGGTTTGTGGATTAACATTTTGAAGTTTTGACGTTATTTGACAAGTTTTTCCAGAATGATTCCTTTTTCCCTCGTCTTTTTTGTTGGATTTCTGGTTTCGTAGATCAAGACTTAAGTTGATTCTTTCTTCTTGTTGAGTGTCTTTGGATAATGTTTCCCTTGAATTTGCATTTTACAAGTAATTATTGATGATTGATTGATCCCTGATGATCATTTCTGTTGGTTTTCCACAGATGACTCAGGTCCTCTCCTCCAGAACGATCAGCAGCCTCCTCTGCTGGTCGTCGATCATCACAACTCCTATATCACCTCCTCAAATCAAGCAGCTTCCTGTCAGGACCCCTCCGCTCACACCTCCACCACAGACCACCTCGCAGAAGCTGTGCTGGACTCTCTGGGGCTGACATCGAGACCTGGGACTATTCCTGCTCCCAGTCCCAGGATTGAGATCACTCCATCAGGGGACTCTCTCAGCTCTCAGACCCTGCAGCCGAGCCCTGGCACCAAAGCTCTGGGGACCTACAGGGAGTGTGTGAGTCCTGCCAGCAGTAACTCCTCCACAGGTTGGCCCGCAGAGGTCTACTCTCCTTTGGTTTCACCCTGCGTCTCTCCGTCTAATGGAGCCAGCTGTGGCGGCATGACATTGTCTGCTTTGGACCTCTGTCCAGGCCTCCAGAACATCAACACCTCCTCTGTGCACTCCTCACCTGGAGCCTCGCCTCGAAACAGCATCACAGAGGATACCTATCTTTTGCCCCAGAACCAGCGCTCTGTCTCGCCGCTCCCACACCAGCGCTCTCGCTCCGCCTCACCGCATGGAAAACGCTCCTATGACCCGACCAGTCCCTGTCAAGGGGGCACTCCCATCAAGCAGCGATCCCGAAGCCCCAGCCCCATCCCATCTCCCCATGAGCAACAGGTCTCCTACTACCTCCACCAGTATCAGGCCCAGGCTGAGTTCCAGCCTCAACCTCAGGCCTTGACTCCAGGCGTGGAGGAGATCATGAGTAGCCTGAACTCCAGTCTACCCAGAGCGATGACCTCTGCAGGGGTGAGAGACGCACACGGACAGGCCCAGAGGCCGGACTGTGTTTACGGGGAGGGGCTTGACTGGGCCTTCGAGCACGAGAGAGTGGGTCGGGCGGGAGCTCCAGAGATCAAGTCTGAACCTCTCTACGTGATTCCTGCTGTGTGGCCCAACCCCCATCCAGTCCACCACGGAGCGTACAGGTGTGTTATTTCACCTTTCTTCTTAACAACAATGAAGTAGTCAAATCACAACCACACAGAAACTCACAGGAAGAGTATTCAAACTGAGAGAGGAATGGGTTTTTATTATTATGCACTCAGAAAATAAAGTTGAAATGTTGAGAATAAAGTCAAATTTGAAAGAAGAAGAAATTCACAAAACTCTGGGGTGACGCAGGCCTGGCGGTCTGAGTGCACGCCCCATGTGTCGGGATTGTGCCTCTTACAAATGACCCTGGTTTGGTTGCAGTCTGTGGCTTCCTTCCTAAGTGTCACTCCTTGCTCTATCTCCTCGTTTCCTCCTCTTTCTAGTCCCGTCCTCTCCAGTAGAGGCACAAAAAAAATCAAAAATGAGCAAAAATGGAAGAAAAATAAGTTGAAATTCAATGTAGGTAAAAGTCAAAATACAATGTTGAAGAAAAAGTTTCTTAGTGTAGGTGTCATACTTTCTTGGATTTGTTTCAGTGCAGTGTCAATGTTTATTAAAAACACCAGAGTCTAAAGAAAATATTGAATCTTTTCTCATATTTATATGATGAGGAAGAGAAGAGGAGATGGCTGAAGGTGATCGTTTTAGCCAAATTCAGGAAGAGCTGAAAAAAAAAAACTTCTGTAAAGTTTGCACAAAAGTTATCAGACTGATGTATCACAGAGTGAAATGAGTAACCTCAAAAATGTCAGATGACGGACTGCACAGATGAGCAGATAACATGTTGCATTTCTGCGTGTTGGACACGTGTTTTGATGCATTCGCTTTTTTCACAAATAAAAAAAAGAGCTGATCAAGAGTTAACCAGTGAGAGAGGGAGCTTTTCAATCTGGAGAGAGTTTTAAATCAGTTAGAAAGAGACTGAAAACACAGGGAGGAGCAGCAAAATAATCGAACCAGCAACTGCTGCAACAAGGATGACTGAAAGCTAACATACACTTTGACCTCATTTATGAAATTGTATTTAGACTTTTTATGAAATTTCAACTTAAAACACAAAATTATTTTTCAACTGAAGTCTTGGCATTTTTACTATTTGCTTGAAAAGCAAAACAAAAAAAATTCTCCTGTTTTTTTGTTTTATCATTCCTTTACTCAAATACTCTTGCGTAGTATGAAGTTTGACACATTAACAAAGATAAAGAGAATATAAACCACAATACTCTTTATGTTGTTTGACTTTTAATTATAAAATAAAGCCCAGTGTAGTGGCTATTCTGACCTAAATTTTAGTCACTGTCTAGATGTAGGACTGAGGTGTTTTTGACACGCTTCTGGTCCAATCCAAGGTTAAGTTTTGGGTTATTTTTTTGCCATCTATTGATTTCATGAAAAACAAACAAAAAAGACAGACACATCCAACTTACTCTGACGGTGATGTACGTGATGAAGGTGAGGGTGGTGTCAGAGATTAGCGGTAAAAACCACGTGCTCTTCCCATTCCCCGGATCACTGCTTCACCTGTGTCCCTTTGTAGCATTTACCTGCTCATTTACCTTGAGTGCCCCTTGTGGTGATTGTGAGAGTAACAAAACTAAACCTTAAAAATGATCTAGATAAAATGGCTCATACACCCAGGAATGAAAAGTCACTTTTAAGCAGAAAAAAAGTTCATTTTTCTGGTACATAAAAGTTGTAACATCATATAAACGCAAAGGCGTGTTCACTTGGTTTTAAGGGTAGTGGATGCCTACAACACTGTTATAAAATTTGATCCTGCCACAAATACACCCTTCATATCCTAAAATGTAATTTTCTTTGACTCGTGTCTGTTTCTGTCTTTCTTTCCCCACAGTGGTCTCCCTGTGGCTCCACTTCCATCTTTAGAGTGGCCATTACCCAGTCAGATGGCTCAGTACCAGCTCCTCATTCAGCAACATCCCAAATCCTACCACAGAGCTCACTATGAGACCGAGGGGAGCCGCGGGGCCGTCAAGACGTCGAACGGAGGACATCCAGAAATTCAGGTTTCTTAATAACTCTACTCCTGTCTGTAAAAGGGTGTGGCATCATCAAATGTGGGATACATGATGGTTTTCCTGAATGATGTTGTGTTTATGTAAAGCAGACAGTTATGCAAATAACGACACAGCCTCATGTCTCAACTCCCACAACACAGAGACATTTATTAGACATTTACACACTGCTCCAAAATACACCTGTTGTTACTTATTGATTATGAGTGGACTGACTTCATCTGCTGCTCTGGTTGGATTATTACTCTGCCAGTGCTGCACAAACAGAGCATGCAAAGCAGTTTTCCTGCTATGCTGGTTCGATAGCGACTTGTGAAATCGCCCCCTCAGAGACGGCAGATCTGCAGTTGTAATTTGTTTTCCACCGCCGAGGGCACTGATGCTATTATCGTCGCTTTAATTCAGTGTGAAGCATTCATTTAATCGCCTTTGTTGTCATTACCAGCTCTGCGGATACCAAGGCACCGCTCCTCTGGCGCTGCAGGTGTTCATAGGGACGGCTGATGAGCGACTCCTGAAGCCGCACGCCTTCTACCAGGTCCACCGCATCACCGGAAAGACGGTCACCACGCCGAGCATGGAGAGGATGATCAACGGGACCAAAGTGTTGGAGATCCCCCTGGAGCCTAAGAACCACATGAGAGTAACGTGAGTAGACAAAAAGACGCTGTAAGAACTTTGCCTCCAAATATCGTTAATTTGTCATTTTAATCATCTAGCTTCTCTTGTCTGCCTTGTGGTTTGTCAGCTTCCCCCTCCCCTACCTGTTGCTGCTGATTGAAACAGAATAAACCTCTTTCTATGTGTCTGAGAGCTTCCAAGAAACACCCACCGGTTATTTACAACGGCATGTGAACTTGGCGAATTATGACTCAGTACAGGATCGCGGCTAAAAAACTTTCAGTGAAACTTTAACTTCTGAAATCAAACGAGACGGATTTGAAAAACCCCACAGACTTTTGTAAGAAGAGAAAGCATTTTGGCCTCGTTTCAGAACACTTTTAATGTCATCCGTTTCTCTACAACAGGATAGACTGTGTGGGAATCCTGAAGTTGAGAAACGCCGACATCGAGTTGAGGAATGGGGAGACGGACATTGGGAGGAAAAACACTCGAGTGCGTTTGGTGTTTCGTGTCCACGTACCTCAACCTGGAGGCCAGCTCGTCTCTCTTCAAGTTGCATCTGATCCTATTGAATGCTGTAAGGAGGGTCACTGGATTATTGCATGAATGAAAACTTGAATCTCTACCAAAGGGTTTTGCTTATACTGTTTCTTACCTCAGTTTGGTCTTTTAAACGACTGTATCTCTCTTTCTTCAGCTCAGCGCTCAGCTCAGGAGCTCCCTGCAGTCGAGAGGCAAGACCTGGACCGGTGTTCTGTGCTTGGCGGTCAACAAATGGTCCTCACAGGGCAGAACTTTACATCGGACTCCAAAGTGATCTTCTCGGAGAAGACACAAAGTGAGGACGCGAATTTTGACCAGATTTCTATCCCATCATGTGAGCAAGGATTACGTTAACTCCCTGTAAATCTTTGTCAGATGAACCCCAGTTTAATTATGAAATAATTACTTTGACTTAATCCGCTTTATGAAGGAGTTACTGCTTGTCCATCTCAGTATTTTTTAACCGACGAGAACAACAAACCCTTCATTATTGCTGTAACTGTAACAAGGATATCCAAGCTGCTGCAGGATCTGATTCCTTTTTAACCTGTTGACTATTTTTCTGTATATTTTCCAGAAAATGCGCTTTAATTTTAGATGATTAGGTGTGGATACTTGTAGTTAAGATTCGCAGTTACTCGAGGGTGTTTTATTGATGAGGAAAATAAGGACCGTTCTCAGGGCCCAAACACGACAGGAACCATAAAATATCCTTAAGGGTTTGTGTTAGTGAAGTGATTGAGCAATTCACCTCTGAGTCGTGGGCGGAGTCAGCGCTGCCCTGCACACTCCTCTTTAAACTAGTTTGTAGTCTAACATTGTTGGTGTAGTAGAAGTGGCAGGTAACATTGCAGCTATTCAGCTCTCAGACACTAATGTTTTTGTGGACATGATGAAAGTTAATATAGTTAGCTTTCTTACAAACATTGCAATCTGCTAACCCACACACTTGTTCTGTGATTTTTCTGTCTACTTCTCTGAGTCTGGCCTGCATAGCAGGGCTCTGGGGGCGGAGCTTGGATTTGTGACATAGGAAATCTCACTGTGTCTAAACCTGCTGTTTGGGTCTGTGAGAGATTCACAGAGATTTGAAAGCAGAAACGCCCAGAAATGCAATTTGACACTTAGTTTTCTCATGATATGTCCTGTAGCATCAGTAAAATGAACATATGAACATGTAGACAACAAGAAAAAACAGGATTTTCATCGGAGTGAGTCTTTAAGCGCTTGTGTTAGTGAAGTGGTTGAGCCTCATTTTCTATCATTTCACAGGGCCATAAATCTCAGGCAGCACCTCTGCATTTACCTCTCCACAAAATGGATTAAAAGGGAGTATACTGTGTGTGAAAACGGGAGACCAAGCAGCACTTAAACTTCTCTTTGGTCTTTGACAGTTCTTCAACTAACTAAAGCAACAAGAGCTTGTCTAGACTGGACTCTTAGTGTCATTTAAAAAAACCAAACATCAACATAGAACAAGATTTAATATTTCATTTCCATCTATGTAACTTACCCATCTTATCAGAGTTGCTGTTAGCGAACATTAACAGGCAGCAGCAGACACTGAATCACCTCCACAGGCTACATTAAAGCTAATAAAATCTGCTGACCGGTGTTTAAAGCTCATAATTTAAGTTAAATCTTGAGAATACCTGCATAAAGGAGGCGCTGTGGTTATGAGGGTGGTATTAAAGAGTGTGGACAGAGAGAGAGAGAGAGAGAGATGTGTGCGGTTTGTAGAGAAACTGTTGATGCTTGTGTTTTTGTTTGTTTGCATATTTAGTTTCAGGGTTTAAAATAGCCTCATATTTCATAGATCACCAAACTATCTCAGGGGCCTACATATATCCTGCTCTGGTGTATCCACCTACTCGAATTGTATTTAAGATTATTTGCATATCGCCCAGGCAACTTTTAGTGACGCACATCTTCCTGCAGCCCACGCTTTTAACTTTGATTAAATGACACATTATTGAAAAACCTAAACTGTTTAACTGGAGGTGACAACTTCTATTTATTTCTGCATGGAAATTTCTCACCTTGTTACGGCTCCCTCTGCCCACACAGAGTTGTTGGGCTGTTTGGTTTGAGAGCAGGATGGGTACAGTCGACTGCATGTAAAGACTCTCTGTTGCTTGGCGTGGGGTTTTATGCAACAGGATGTGGTTAGACAGACTGATAAAGATTCAGACCCAGAACACAGGCTTTGTTTTTTTTTTTTTTCTTGTTTCAAGGCGTGGGTGGAAAATAAGCAGCAGGTAAAAAGTAAAGTAGGAGTTATCACCCAAAGAATAAAAAAGAACCAGTTTTCTGCTGTTTGTTAAGAGAGGATCTTAACAAATTCAACTCTTAAAACTGAACCCAACATGCTTCAACCACAAACATGTTTCACATTTACTCTTTCACCAAAATCTAATAAGATATCAAACTCTGGTATCTACATGTGGTTCCTGCTAATCTGAGAAGCTAAGTTACTTGGCGGTATTCTTCTCAAAGATGAGGACAGCGACAATCTTTTCATCTGACTCTTCCTCTAAAGGCAGCAAACTTAACCTTTCAAACTTTCATGTTTTGGTGCCTCAACACTTTTATTCCTCTCTTCTGACTTTTAGCTGGACAGCAAATCTGGGAGGTGGAGGCCACAGTGGACCGAGACAAAACACAAGCTGTGAGTAAACTGGGTGGGATTATTCTACATCACCACTCACACGCTTTTGAACATTTTCTCGCGCTGTTACAAACCGACTGAGCCACAAAACTGAAAGCAAAACACAAAACCTCATGTTTTCGCTGAAACACATCCTTCTGTGTGTCACGTTGAGTGGCTAACCCTAGTTCTCACTGATTTCAATCTGCAACAAACCGATAAGTGATTTAAGCGACCATGCAAAAATGTTTCTCTGAAGTCTGATCTCTTTCTGTTCAGAACATGCTGTTCGTCGAGGTCCCGCCTTACAGAGAGCGGAGCATTTCCCACCCCGCCAAAGTCAACTTCTACGTCGTCAACGGGAAGAAGAAACGCAGTCAGCCTCAGCATTTCATCTACACACCTTTAATAGGTATAAACCGAAACAAAGATAAACAAAATCTTCAACTCTACATGAGTGAAAAGTGTGAAAAATGTATTTTAAGTCATGCATCTTTTTCAGAGAAAACAGGAAATAGTAACACTTCAGTCAAACTCGCTCTAACAGCCTGAAAGCAGCTACAAGGAGTTTCTGTCTATAATCCCCATTTACTGTGAAGCTTTACAAGAAATGAGTCATAGGATGTAGGCAGCCAACTGAAGCCACATTTTTTTGTATAGGGGAACCACTTTCACTCGCTCCAAGGAAAGAGAAATCTGTCTGTTTTCATGTATTAGTGATTCATAATGGTTTCAAATGGTTGAAACTTCCTTTTTTGTGACTCAGTGTCTTAAATATTACAACACTACGCTCTATTGATCAGAGGTGGGAGATCCAGGGTATCTTCAGTTACAAAACAATCAGAGTTTGCATCAGTCAGGCGGGCAGATATTATCAGCCAAAGTAAAGTCAGAGTTAAAACGTAGCAGAGTTAAATATAAATAGTAGAATACAAATATCCTCATTTTGATGAAAGCTAATATAAGCTTGCAAAATGGCGACTTACAAGGGTTGCTGATATTCCCCTCCACTCTAAGACAAACACTTTTGTTTTGGTCACAAGCAAGTTCAAAGTAAGAACATGTCTAGACAAGTTCTGCATTGCTGCCTGGGGGGCAGGCCCGGATTTTAGCTTTCGTATTGTTTTAACAAATAGAAAGATGCTTTTGTCTCTCAGTTGCTATACAGCGTTTTTCAAGACTAGAATAACTCAACAACTATCTAGCTTTAAAAAAAAAGGTAAGCAGAGCGCTTTGTTAAGACCTGCATGGTCACCAATGAATACATTTCTCAAGTCAAGGGTAAACAAACTACATTAAAAAGGCTTCAGATCATTTTCTAGACTTTTACCTGGTTGCTGCAAAAGTTGGCAGTCAAAATCAAAGTTTGAAACAACTGGTCAACGGCAAAAGTTTGAGTTCTAACAGACTAACTTTGGATGGTAAAACCAATAAATATATCGTTTTAAACATCCCCACATTAGCATTATTTTTGTTGGCATGTTGTCCTAAGTTTCACTGTTTTTAAAGCATAGCAAAGTGTTTCCTCTAAGCCTTGTCAGTTTTAATAATCCACCTCATACTCCATCTTTGAATAATCCTTGTTTTCTTTATTTTAGCAATCAAAGCAGAACCACTCGATGACTTCCCACTGAATTCATACGGCTATCCCGACAATCAGTCCCTCCCTGGTCTGTCAATGAAGTCCCTCTACCACCCCCTGGAGTACGAAACCAACCAGCAAGCCCTGAGTGTTTCGCCATCTCTGTACCACCTGACCACTGTGGACCCCAGAGCCCACATGTTAATCCCTGACCCACTGGATGACCATCCAGTCTACTACCAGTCGAGAACCAGCACTCTGATCAACAGCCCCATGGTGTACCAAACTGCAAACCAATGTTACAGCAACTGTGCTTCCTCCATGGCCTCCCATTCTGCACCCATTCCCAGTCAGTGCGGCGGTGCCAGAGCGCCGATGGGAAAACTGGGAGAATATCCTCTGGTTGGCGATACATACGAGGCCAGTCTGGTGTCAAGACATCAGAGTTTGGTGCAGCCGGTGCTACCACTGGGCAAGTCACCGCCTACCAGATACGCCCCAGGTCAGGCTCACATGAAGGCTGTAAGCAGAGTGGAGGCAGGTGGTCTGACTTTGACCCAGATCAGCTCCAGCAGAGTAAACCATGAAGAACAAGCTCCAGAGAGAATCACCATCAAACAAGAAATCAACCTGGAGGATGGTGAGTATTTCTAAATGGTACTTATGTGGGGGGCTGGGATGCTTTTATTTGGGTGCTGGTTTGACACTGACAACATAAAAGACCACCCTCAAACCTCTGTCTCCATGTGCAAACAAAGAAAATCCGATATGCATGCTTACTCTAAAGGTATCCCAGTTAAAAAGTACGACTGAGACACATGTTTGCATCTAAATGACAAACATTTTCAAAAGCTGACTGCTTAAAACAGTGAAAAAAAACAAACAAACAAGCTGAACTGTTAGATGACATGTCAAAGCTTGGGGGATGACTAATTGTGGTCCAGTCTGCAAATGCATAGTAGCATGCAGCAACTGTACGCTTGCAAATCCTGCCTTGTGGTTATGTTTTGGGCTTTTCTATCCACCTTTAAGTCTCTCTCTCTCACACACAAACATGCAAACAAGAATCAAAACAATAGAAGCTTTTTGAACAAATCCAGTTGTTTTGAAAAGCTATTATAGAAAATGCTTGAGAACTTTTATGTATTTAGGGATGTGAAGTAAAGATGCAATGTCAACTGAAGTGAAACGGTAAGTTGTGTTTGCATCAGGGCAAAGTTTCTGCTAACACCTCTGAGTTCAAAGACAGGAGCAGGAAATGATGTTTATATCGGTTAATACTTTTCAACACTGAAATGGAAAAAAAAAAGACCTTTGGCTGTGAAGCCTGGTACAAACTGGAGCACTGATAAAAGTTTGGGTGTTTACAACAATCTGTTTTTGCTGAGCATCACAAGTTACAAACGTTTCTCTATCAAAGCAAGATCAGGTTAAAATGTGCCTGAGCTGTCAGAAAAAAAAGCAGTAAAGAAGAAGTACGTATTAGAAATAATGTTTTAACAAAGCATAATGAATTTATGTTTTAGTTATGTTTCTTTGTGCAAATGTTTCATAAAGGCAAAGATCTCAGATCAGCCCAGAACATACTCCACACACTGGACATCTACGTTAAATAAAATAGAGACATCTAGAGGATGTGAATATAATTGCAACATTACACATAATTACTGCAGAGATTGCATGACATCCTGGATAGATTTATGCATGATAACTGAGCAGTTTGATAATGCCTCTTCAGCACTTTGCAGCATGTACTATCTCACTCCCGCCTCACTTTAGTCAGGCTTTACCAAAGTTAAAAATGTCACAGACTACTCCTACAAGCAGAAATATCATTGGTAATACTCGCCCCTGACCCCAAACAAACAGGAATAAATAAGATTAAAAGTAAAAGCGGATTCAAAGGGGAAGCATTTAGCAAAATAGACGACATAGAAACAGATGGTAATTTTCTCCCAGTTTATAGAAATTGTTTTGTTTTCTGTTAACTTACAATGAGTCTTTGTGGGTCCTCTTCCTTGGAGGTTGTCATCTTGCATCACCATGAGCCTGAGGAAGCACAAAATAGACAAATTAGTCAGATATGTTGATTTTTTCTTTAATGGGCCCACAAAATGCATCAGTTTAGCGATTAAGAAGAAAAGGCAGCATTTGTTGGACACAAACATTGATAGACGTTTGTAATGTTAAAACTTAACATGAGGTTTCCTGTCCTCATAGACAACAGTCACAATACAAATAGAAGGTGTGAGCAGAGGGGGTGTTTCAACCAAGAATCTGACCACAGGATAACACTTAACATAATATTTGATAAGCATAACCACAAAAAATGTAAAACCTCATTGTGGCTGTTATAGTTATTGTCTCTACAGTTTCTCACAATTATTTTGTTTTTCAGTGACCGAGATCATAAGAAGAGAATTTAAAGGACAGAACGGAGACTGATCCACAGCGGCCTGATGTTCACGAGTCATCAGTGGAAAAAAACAGAGACAAATGCAAATGTTCAAGTCAAACATAACAATAGGTCTGTTGATGGTGTGTTATGTCAACAGTTAAAAGAATATAATATAATAATAAAACAGATCACTCACTGAGCAGTCTCTATTTAACAACAACAGGAATTTATTAACTTAACGACTCTTTAACTCTCGATAGAAGATAATGAGACAACAATGAATCTTTAACTCGTATTTAGAATGTGGAAACTGAAAAGTAGGAAATCGATTGATAAATTGTGTTCAGGTTGTTTTGTACAGCTTTGTAGTAGAGCGATTCTTTAAGGCAATATTGACCTTTTAAACCCAGCTACCTTATTTTATATTGAGCCTGGTCAGCACCTGAAGCCTTATGATATATATTTACACTGTAGCCTCTGCAAAAGTAGCTGATTTTTGTTTCACCTGGAATCTCTTTTGCTTTTATTTTATGCAATTTGACTGTTATGTTTATATATTTGTACCACTGCTAAAACGTGTATTATATATTTTATACTTAATAAACTGTTTTATATGAATCAATGTAGATCTGAATTTTTGTTCATTACTTCTTTTATGTGACATTTTATCTACCAATTCAAAGTTTTGGACAGCCTGTTTTGAAGTAGGGGAGAGTGGGGTAAGATGAGCCATATTTCTGATCACTGCATCAAGTCAATCATAGTTTTGTCTCCAACTAGTGTATCTGCATATATTTCAGGATGTTGTTCATCCCTGCAAACCAACAGAATGAGTGTAAACAGAACTGTCTTGATAATATAGCATGCCAAAAAAAAATTGGTGAGCTGTTTCGTTAAAGCCATTTTAACATGAGAATGCCTTTAAGTGATTCAGAATAGGGCTGTATGATAAAACGACACTGATATTTATCGAAAATTAATTCCCACAATATCAATATGAAACATGGTCAATATGCTGTTCAATAGTCGACATTCTGCCATGTTTTGGTAGACTATACGAATAGCTAATGAAAAGGGGAGTTCCTCCGGGTCTGCTTCATGCTGAACCAATAATGTGCTGAATTAGAACCAAGTAGCAAACAACTGTGTAGTTGCAGGCTGCAGCGACATGCAACCATAGCACTTTAACAGCGCAACGTGTTACAACAAAACATTGAAGAGACACAAAGACCTCACAGTTGCTGTAACTTAAGCACAGCTAAATTACATTTTTATATCGCGATATATACCGATATCAACTGATGTGAAAAAAATACACTGCGATAATTTTTTTCCCATATCGTCCAGCCCTAATTCAAAACATTCACAGATCTGTATTTTTGAAAAGAAAAGTCAAACATTTCAACAATCTGAACTGAAACTCTGATCTTCTCATCAGACTCCTTTACTTTCTCAGTCACCTCAGAACTACTATGATGACTTTATTAGTCCTCTGAGCTAAAATGGTGGAGTTTAAGTCTAGGTTTTTGACCTCATGTTGTAGCTCATATATACCACAATTGATGTATAAAACTTTTTTTTTTTTGTCTGAACACAATTCTAATCAAACTTATGACAGACTGAATTCGCTTTCAAGAGTGAAAAAAAATTATTATTTTTTTTTTGGAAATAAATGTCTAACTCCTTCACCCATGTGCCTCTAACCTTCACAGACTCCATGAATTGATGGCCATCTCCTAAATGTTTGGTCACATAATCAATTTCTTTACCATTTCCAAGTTCAACTGACTCTTTGGCTGATCTTACCCCACTCTCCCCTACTAAACAGTTTGTGTCACTGTTAAGTTTGTTCGTCAAAAAAGTACTCACTTGTTTGACTTTCATCCATCTTCCGAACTGTTGGTTCTGCGCCATGAAACACGCGCGAAAAAACGTTAAATATTAGTTGTTTTAAACTCTTCACATCAGTTTTGTGGTTCTTCTAACCTGCTAACAACGTTCAAACAAACGCCAGAGAGCGCCATTTTCAAAATCGTCCTCTATCAAGCCGGAAGTGAAACGCCACTTCGTGATGTCACTTCCGAGAAGCGGATGGATTTTTTTCCTCTTTTTTCTTAAAGGTAAATATGCTTTTTTCTTGGTCAATTAAGGGCTTCCCCAGACATTTATACTCTGAAATTATTAAACGACAAAGTGTAGTGAAGTACCCAATTGATGTAAAGCTAACCTTACCATCATTTATGTATATTTTTTGTGTCTTAAATCGATGCTGTAGAAAATAAAGCCTTCCTCTCTGCCGTGCTAACGGACATATGTGGTGCTATTTAGATTGTGTTCTAGCAGGGTCAAGCCTAAGTTAAAATCACATAATTAACTTCAGTCTAATCTGTTTGAATAGATATGCAAATGTAAACAGGGATCGATATTGCCTCAACAAACATCTCCGAACGACAGTATTTCTGATTAACCCCAGAACACTACCACTAAAATTTGTAACACCATCACTATCACCAGGCGATTTTGACCTGAAATAATATACCCAAGAAGTACCTGTCATCAAAATATATCAAAATAGGACAATACATGACAAATTAAAGTAGTTTTCTTTTATTTTCAACTGTGCAATGTCTAAAGGGAGAGAAAAAATGCCATAAGGGGACCATATAGAAATGCAACAAAATAACTGAAATTAGGCATTCATCAACAAAAAAAAAACTAAAATATATAGAAACTGTAAAGTTAGTTTCTTCTCCACCCATTCCTGGGGCATGTTAGTCTTCCCTGATGAAGACTCAGGGTCCTGGGCACAATAACTGCAGGAGAGAGAACCAAAATATGGCAGATTTGGAGTGAGTAAAAATGACCAGCTGACTCAAACGAATTCCCTTAAAATCACAGCTTTGTCATAGTTATTCATAACCACTGTGCTAAATCAAGATAACATGCAAATTCCAGGACCGCTCTTACTGACCTTATTCGCCCACATGCAGCTGTCAAATCCACCCAAACCTACTTTACCCTCTATCACTAAAATCCCCCTGTGAACACGTGCCAGTTGGAAAAAGCAGGTTTTAGATCAGGGAAACAAATGTGCCTTGAAAGATGTCAAAGACAATGCTGAAGCTACTCAGGGACCCGTGATACTCAGACAAACGCAACATAATGAAAATCACGTAAACATGTTTGACGATAGTGTTCTAGGGTTAATGAAATGCTGTCATTCCTTCAAAATCTCATCCTGTTTGTTGTAGTTCCTCTGAAACTAAATTTGACTTTTTTTTTTTTTTTGAGGATGCACAATATTGGGATTCTAATCATATCCATCATGTCGATATTTTGTAACCCATTTTGGTTGATACTAATGCATGCACACTTTTTTCATGGTGAAAAGCACAAAGCTTCTTTATCAAAATTTACCCTCATTGTGTTTGTCTGTTTGTTTCAGAACCAAACAAGATAAACAGCATTCAATTCCACTATGAATGATCAGTATATCTTAAATACACATTTTTAGCACTGCATCCATTGTCTATTTCCAACCACTTTTGAAACACTTGCACACAGCCTACATGTGTATGCGGTGATTGCAAGTACATGATTAATGTGCATTTTTAGCTGAGAATAACATCAGCATGAATCTTCATATCAGCTGATGACATTAATATTTGTTTTTTAGGTATTTTTAGCCAATATATCAATAATAATGTGCATTTTAAATTTCTTTTAGTAATTAAATGGTGCAATGCTCAGTGGAGTAGCTTAGCTGTGTAGTACTCTGTATTACTACTCATGCTTGTTATTCAAACAACGTGCTTATTAACATTTTAAAAAATTGGCATTCATAGGAATCTTGTTAAACAGTTCACGTTCCTCTGTATTCAATCTTCAATTGGATGCACTTACTTTATGAAACATTTTGCAAAATTTAAGATTATTGTATCTTTTGGTTTAGGATCTATAAAAGAGCAAATGCATTGTCTGAATTTCCTGATTGTGATTCTGACAGGACATCAACATCAGGACAGACAACCAGCTTCATAATGTCTGCAGAACTGGACCTGTCCCCTCCAGAGGTCCCAGAGCCCACCTTTCTAGAGAGCCTGCTGCGATGTGGTCTGTTTCTGGGCGCCATCTTTCAGCTCATTTGCATCTTAGCTGTGATCTTACCCATGACTAAGGGACATGATCAGGTAAGTAGACACCAAGGGGAGATAGAGGGCCTAGTTGAAAAATACCACAGATTACCGAAATAAAACTTCAAGGACATGCTTACCTTTCTCTCACATTTGCCAGAATGATTATATTACAAATCAGGACAACAAAAAGACGTTTTATCAAATAAATATTTTATGTTCATTTTTTCCAATATTTGCTAGTCTTAAACTATTTAGATTCAGTCCAGATAGGAGAGATGAGCGTTCTAAATCCTTGACTGTCTGTGAAGACAGAGCCACCGAAGGGCTACTCTCACAATTTCCATACTAACAAATGTCAGGAGAGTTTATTTATGGACAAAAGAAATTGAATCCACAGCCTAATTAGCTTTTTGTAGGCTTTGTCATCAGATGCACTGATTACAATCGAAAGTATGACGCCATTTCATTCTTTGACTGTGAGTGTTGTGTGGTGGTGGTCGGAGAGGCCGTAGGCGCAGAATGGCAGCCACGTTTCCACCACCACCAAAGTGTGACTGTGTGAGCGAATGAATGATGTATCCAATGTAAAGCGCTTTGAGGGTCTCTGATAAAGTGCTATATGAAATCTGATGCATTATTATTATTATTATTTACAAAAATACGCTCTCATTCAAAGCATTACTGACAGAAAGATATCTGATTTTCTTTGGTTTGTCACATTTTTCTAATGTTCTCTAAAGAGATTATTCTAAGAGGGGTCTGCTCTGTATGGGGTGATGAAAAATGGCTTTTCATATTTGTATAGGTGCTTATTTACTTCCTTATCTCCTATTTGAAGCACTTCAATTCAATTTTACTCCAAAAAAAATGTTTAGCTATTAAAAATTCATGTCACTGGAAACTGCTTCGCTGCTTGATATTCTGACTGCGATGTAATTAAAAAGAGTTTAAGCATTAGTGTTGAAATAATAAGGCATTTAATATTCCCTCTTCATGTGTTACAGGAAGAAACTGAGTCCAGTGATGGCAAAGCCCCTGAACAGATAAAGAAACCCAAAGGACCAGCACCGCAGATCCGACAGAAACCAAAGAAAGAGAGCAAAAAGAAGCGATAGAATGAGCTGTGCTGTGTGTGTGGGTGTGTATGTGGTTGCTACCTGCTTGTCTGATTACTTGGGTAGTCATCTGTGAGTCAACATTGGCATTTTCCAAAACAGTTTCCACTACAGGTATATAAAACACTAAGGTCACCTTAAGAAGATTAAAAAATGTGTGTTTGATTTTAAACACTTCAGAATGACATTAAACTCTGTCCAATTCACATTTCATACAGTATCAACTCTGAGCAAACTGTCATGTCCATTGTTTGTACGGTTACATGTTATTTTTTATTCTTTTTTAAATAAATTGAACTGCGTTTGCGTTTACACAGACAAATAAATGTGTGGTCCTTCACATGGTTGTATTCATTTATTACTAAGTTTGCTTTGAATGATTCAGAATGAGATCATTTCCTGTCCTAACATTTGCTCATTTACTTTGGCAGAATACATCATAAAATCCTAATAAAGCTGCCCTTTTAAGGAGATGCATTGACGATTTCAGGGCGGTACAAGTGTGTTTAAATGATGATTTATGTTCTGTAAATATTTCTGTCATAATAAGCGGCTTTGGTGGTTTGCATAAGACAAGATGTTCCTTTATGAGTCCCACAGGGGGAAATTCCAAAAGCATAGTACAGATACAAAGAGACAAAAATTAAAAGATAAAGAAACTTTGAGTTAAACAAGATATGTGCATGTGTCAAAATTGCATGTATTATTAACACAATTCAAATCACAAAAAGGACATGAATAATGATTAAGCGATAAAAGTAGGTTAGTTTGGTTACAAAATAAATGTCGCTCTTTATTTTAATTGTTTGTTTATTAAATGTGTCTGCTTTAGGAGTGTCTCGAAGATGAAATGCATGCCTTAAAAAGTCAGGATGACTCAGAGAACTGAAGACCAAGTACAAAATCTGTCTTTTATGTTTTTAATTTTTTTAAAAATGTTTTTATGTTTATTTATTTATGTTTTTTATTTATTTATGCCCTATCAGCCCGAAGTAAATTACTTTAATCGTAAACGTATATATTAGGATCTTTGAGAAATCTAAAGTGATATCAAATTTTTAAATGTTAACATGGTGAACACGACAAATTACTTCATCTGTTACGCAGATAGCAGGGTCAACGAGGATATCGTTGTTTCGCTTAGCACCGGACTCAGCTAGCCGACTACAAGGCTTAACGAATAACAAGAGCGGCTGTGTGTCCAAAATTTGCGGCGTATTATACGGTGGCCGAACCACCACTGCTGCAAAAAAAAATAACCCACAACAGAAGTTTACAACACAAAAGAAAAGTGGCAATAAAAAAAGAAATCCTCACTTTCTTTTGGCATCATTAACTTACATTGCAGCTTTTTAGTTTTAAAATCTGCACCATTTGGGACGGGCTTCAGTTTTTTTTGTTTGTTTGGTTTTTTTTTTTGCATCCGTAACTTCCATTATGGTTTGTTTTTTTGCATTCTTTTCATTTGCAGTGGTGGCGTTTTTTTTTATTTTTTTTTTGGTTTGTTTGTTTTTTTTCATTTTTTTATTTGCAGCAGTGGCGTCCTTTTTTGTATTCTTTTTTATTTGGAGCAGTGAAGTTCTTTTTTTTTTTGCAATCTTTTTTATTTGCAGCAGTGTCGTGTTATTTTTTGTTTGTTTGTTTGTTTTTGGTTGTTGTTTTTGTTTGTTTGTTTTTTTCATTCTGTTTTATTTGCAGCAGTGTCGGTTCTCGGCCACCGTAGTATCGCTTCTTCATATGGTAGCTTCCAACTTATTCCTTCAAAAAAAACATTACGCTCGCTGCTGCCAACGCCTCGCTGAGTTTCACTGGTTACGAAGTGGAATTACGCAACACGACGTGAATCTTGTTGACTCCGCCGTTGCTGCGTGAAAGACGTAAAGTCCGGGCTCATCATATTTGCGCTGCTCTCGCGGTTCGTCAGTGATGCACTCCTATCCCGTGCCTTCCCCCCCTTCGAGGCATGTCTTCTCCACACCACCACACCACCACCACCACTCCTGCTTCCTCGCATGAATGTTCCGCCGCACCATCGTCTCTCCTTCCCCGCTGAACGGGCTCCTCTCGCCGTCCGTCTGGTTGGTGTTCGTCCGGCCCACCGCAGCAGCAGCCGCCCGCCCGGCAGCTGTGCCCTCTGCTCCCGAAGGCAGTCCTCGCCATGACCTCCCCTTCTTCCTTCGATACAACCTAAATTCGTTAAATGGGATTCGTGGCTGCTGGCCCTGGGTTTCCACAGCAACTGGCCATCCGCTTCCATTATTTCTCTAATGAGGACAGCCATACGGATTTAACACGGTTCCTCGCTGCGCGTCTCCGATTTTTGGGCTGAATCTCAAGACGCGTCAAAGGTGAGTGAAATTACGACTTGTGACGTTTGAACGCAAGAAAATCGGGTTTATCGTGATTGTTGAAACGCATTTTCCTCCTCTGGTGTTTCACACACCGTCTAAAATCCCACTCTTGTTGTATTTCATTGTTGCACAGGCCATTCAGTCAGTGTTGCTCCCACATTTCATTCGGTCAGTGCCACTCTCTGTGTGTGCCAGGGCTGCGTTTGTTGACGATTTACTACACCCCGCACAAAATCGGCAGCGTGTGAGCAAATCTCCGATCTTTTCGCTTTCCCATGACTCAAAATCCCCCGGAAAGACAGCCTTAATCGACTGCGAAGAGAAATTAGAGCCAACAATCCATCGAGATTCAAAATGGAGCTGTAACAGCACCTGTTTTGATTCATCAGGCCGCATATGCGCTTTACATGAGCCCGAGCCAGGGGAAGCCACAGCAGCATTGTCGCTTTTTTATCCCTCTTCCCATTCACAAATCCGTGTTTACGAGCCTAATGTGGGTGAGTTTGGCTAAGGCGGACTGTAAAGGGTTTTCCTTTGGATTGGTGTGTGTGTATATGTGTGAGTGTGTGTGTTTTATTCTCTCCTAAAGCAAAGACGTTATCATCTTGACAGCTGCTACTCCTGTAAGCAGCTACTACCCCACCCCTTGTTTCTTTGAAAGCAGCCTTGCTGACAACTGGTGTTTAATCCCGTGGAAATAGAATTTTAATTATGTGGTTAATCTATTTACAGTTGTGTTTCGGATTTTGGATCAGTTCCAGCCAATTTCCATATGGCAAACCACCAGGTTTGCCTAAAATGGGATGGATGAATCATGGGAAAACTGAATGTTGGGTTTTCATTGTGGCACAACTAAAGCAGAAGTAATGATGTGTTAGCTGTCTCTGGTAAACATGCGATCATAGCATGGGAAGTACACACAAAAACAGATGACAGATTTTAGCCTGAAGAAAATACGAGTTGAGAATATCAACAGAGGATGAAAATAATAATAAGAGATGTAGAATAATACGAAGGTTGCAACCATGTTAGCTGTAATGATGTAACATACAGATTTTTTTAATTGGTCAGTACATCTTATATATCTCAGATTGATTGATTGATTGATTGAAGTTTATTTCTAATATGCAAACCAAACATATAAACAATTAAGAAGAGTAAGGCAAAACATTTAAACAGAAAACAGAAATATATATTTGAAAAGGAGTGAAAAGAAGAAAAACTAATGAACTCCCACCCCTTCCCTTTAAATCCTAAGTACCCACAACAAGCTTCCTTGCAACTTGTTTAGATGTGCCTGATAATTATGATAAATAAAGTACATTCATGACTTCCTACATCTACATCCACTCAAAACAGCACACACATAAAAACAACAACACAAAATAAATCTGTAAAATAGTCCAAGAATGATTATTAACATGGTAATGCGGCTTGTTTGGGGATCCTGTTAGAGTTTTTGGTCCATCACAGGTCAGATTTTTAAAAAATATTGAGTATTTGGCGACATTGAGCCCAAATCAGATACTTGCGTCTTCCTGTATTGAACTATTTTTTTGTCCTGCTTTGTTATTTTTTCCACAAAAGTATATAAATCTGTTTAGTTGAACCTTGTCCAAACTGGTGCGGTTGTAAAGCAATACTGCGCTACTGCCTCAACTGGGAAGTTTAATCCGGTGTGCAGGGAGGCCCAGTAGTGACATAGGACACATGTCAGAGAGCCATAAAGCTGTCATAAAGCTCATATCAGTCACATAGTGTCTTAAATTACATGGTATCTTGTCACAAACTGTATTTGAATTTAGCATTGAGACAGCAGGACATATCATGGATGAGAAAGTCATCAAAAATCTGTATTTCCAAGGGTCTACTCTCATTACAGATGGGCTGGTTGAATAAAGCGATGAATTGAAACCCCCTCTGAAACCTCTCCGGTCCCCTCACTCTATCAAGGACATTCATCATTCCCTTTAAAGACCAGAGTTTGTTCTCCTCCCTAGTTTCATGAAATTGGTCCAATTGAACGCAAAATCGCTGCTACAGCCTTCAAAACAATCCTATTTTAAAGCCCACGTATTCCAAGAGGCTCTTGGCTTCTTTTTGTTGCTTTGTCCTCACTGCTGACAGTTTAGCCCCAGGGTTGCTAATGCTAAGTTACTCACACGTTTATGTTCTGTAGCAAATTGCGCTCAGTTTTTACGACAGCTGGCGTAAAGATGATCAGGTTGAGACGATGTGCTCCAATTGCCGATCTACAAGCGGTTAAAAAAATAACCCAGATCGGCTCGAGTCTCATAGTTGAGATCAGATCAGGACATCCCTTGTCTTGTTATGCCCGACGAACTGTGGACAAAATAACTACAAACATTTCCGAGCTTACTTGATTATCTTACATCAAATTTTTAAGCTCTGGTTGGATTTGAGTGTCAGCTGGTGTTTTTATCCTCGTTTTAGTCGGAGGACTTAAAAGAAGTGAGTCTCTGAAGGCAGAAAAAGTATTTGTGTAATTTAAAATCCTGTTTGAACACATGGAGAAGAAGTCTGAACATTAACCAGAGATTACAGGCTAGGCCCTTTGATTTTTGAGGAGCAGTTAATAATTTGCGTAGACTTTTGCACTTCTTGTCCTCCTTTCCCACTTCTCACCCTCCGTCTTTGAGTCAGTCTTTGTGTAGCAGCTTTTCCTCATCGCCCGATCACTCTTGCAGCCAGAGCTGCCAGTTACAGATGGACAGAAAACGGAAGTGGGTTTTATCAGCCAAGTGCCACAAGCCTCTTCTTGTTCTCTTCTTTTTTCCCCTCCGTCTTTTTCTCCTTCTTTCCTGTGCATGTTTTAACGAAGATGAGACACAACACCTCGACACAGGCTCAGGGTTTTGTAAAGTGAGCAAAGATCTGAGGAGAAGATAGTGAGGAATATCTGATGGAAGGAGTTGATGGTTAGGTGACTGTGTTATCCCTCTGAAACCAACTGTCTACTCTCCATTCAAACAAGGATATACATGGATGATGTGCGTTTAATACATGCATGTGACCTGCTCTCTCATGTTATCATCCGGCATATTAAAGCCGAGGAGGACAGTGACGCTAATGTGCACATTTCCTCTTGTTTTGATCTTGAGGAACCATCATTGCTGCCCCCTCCCTCTCTCTCTCCTTCCCTCTCCTCCCCAGGGCAAACTGTAATTTTCCCATTCGGCTGAAACATTGGCTCGGGCTCCTTTCTTTCTTTCTCTGCAGCACAGTGGCAACTGTTACCGTCTGTTGTGACTCAGTGAGGTTTGTCATGGCCAAATGTGCTTATGTGCCTGACCAGAAATGTACAGAGTGTGTGCTCAGCTTCAGATGGAGGATTACAAATGCTGATTAGAGGGGAAACGTGAGAGAGTTTTAATTCTTTGTGCAGAATTGGAGCTACTTTTGGCACTGAAAATCAATTTGAAACGTAATCTTCTGAAACAAATTGCTGCTTTTACAGCGTGTAACTTTATAACCTCATTCAATTTGTATTAAATGATGAAATTAGTCACCAGAAATTAAATTTTCTCACAAAGACTTCAGTGTGCAGATAACTTAGGAGATGGATGGCCTGTAATAAAGATATTAGGCTCTTAAATACAGTATTTACGTGAGATCATCAAGCTTTTCAAGGCAAATTGGCTTTTCTTTTTCAAACAAAATTAACCTACAAGACCTAAACCTTCATTTTCTCCTGCTAAAGCTGACTGTGACGTGATCTTTAGTCATCTGATTTCAATACAGTGTAAACAGGGATGCTTTCTTCAGTGAATGTAAAGCTAACGAGAGCCGTCTGAGTGGACATCTTTCAAGTCTGTCATTAAAACACCAAACAACCTCATTGTGTCACTAAATAACGTTTCAGAAAAGATGGACGACAAGTTTCCAGCCGTGTTAGAGCTCAGTCAGGCTCTGTTTTCTTTTGTTTTTTTGTGTTTCTGAATTCATACCAAATCTCAAAAACTCAATTTTTAAATTAAAATTGATAATCGATCATAAATAGAAAGATTAGCTTTATCAGTTTGACATGAAATCCACTCAGATTGATCAGCCATGAGACAAAATAGGCCTTACTCCAATGGCTAGAGGTAGTTTCTGAAAGGTTTCTATCGATCCATGAATAAATAGCCCGTCTTGGATTATATACTAGAGGCGTTATCTGTGTAATAGATTTATGGCCACATAAGTAAGGGAGATGTTAAAGGTGAGACAATACAGCAGCAAACAGAGGAGTGTTGGACTGTTAAAATCAGTGAGTTGTAGTTAGCTGTAAACAGAAACTATATCTGCGTCTGCCGGTGTAGGTACCAGATCGCTACATTGCGCTCCATTTAATAAGTCATATGTTCTCAGTTAAAAGGCCCTCATTGTTTTCTTTATTTCCGTTTGTTCATTCAGTTGACCTCGAAGTTTTCACTTACTGTACTGTGATTCTTAGATGGCTTTAATTGTTTATGTTAACTTTTCTAAAGGAAAAAGAAAAAGATGTTCTCAGGATCTCCGTTTATCAATAGATAGTTTTGCTTTTATTCCACATTTCCTAAAAGAGGCGCTAGTCCGACTGTCCTAAATCCCCTCTGATAAGTAGCGATAGATTGCTTCGTAAAATTCATCCATGTTTTCTCTGAAGAACTACAATTCCATGAAACCTAATCCGGCCAAAACCGCTTCTGTAATGTCCGGACCAACCATAATTCTCTACGACATCCAAACTAACTTCCAGTTATCATATAGTGTGACGTCATCAACAGGCGCTTGGCCCCAAGCTAATCTGGCAGCCCGAACCATAGAATCATAGGAGCGTAATCCAGTGTCGCCGCCATGTTGGATGGGTCTCCCCACTCCAGATTCTTTCAAGAGCCAAACGCAGTATTGAAACCAGATCATGTAGGATTACATTTCCTAAACAGGATTGAAAAATAATTTGGTTTAATTTTAATGTGTGACATTGTCCTGTATTATGGCTACATCCCTGCCATTGTAACAAACCAAACAGTGTGAAAATCTGGGCAGAGATTCGGAAAGATTAATATGGTTGGGCACTCCTTCCTACCTTAATGCACTGGAGGTGCATGGGGGACCCATCCAAGATGGCGGCCGCGCTGATACGTGAGCTCCAATAGGCAGCATCAGGCTTTGAGGCGTCTACGTATATTATATCCACGGCCCGAACACATCTGGTACCTACACTGGGAATATCAACGATTAATTATGAGACAGGATAGCCAAAGGGTATGCAGTTCATCCTCAGGAGAATATGAATATGAACTAAAATATGTGGCAGAAGAAATTTCAGTCAAATCCTCAAATGTAAACATAAAAGTGGCACGAGTAGAAAATCTAAGGGGTCAGCTGAAGTCGATAAGATTCATTCTTTGGCGGCATGGCAGTAAATCCAGAAGTTGCTGAGATATTCTAGTCTGGACTAAAGAACAATTTCATCAACTCAAACTATTGTTAGCACGTAGATTGTGTGATTGTCACTCTGACTCGTTGTGAGCCGTCCCTTTAATCAATAACTCGGAATTAAAATGACACAGCAGATTTCTGCGCATGCCTTCATGACTCATTATGCAAATCCTGGTCCTGTCAGCCCTGATTTGATGCAGTTTAAGTACCTGGCAGATGTTCAGACTCGCCGGCTTTATAGACGTGTGTTCTAGTTTGTCATCTGAACTTTCCTCCAGAGTTTTATTATTCTTATACTGTTCCCTCTGCCATCTAGTATTCAGTTCATGCACACAGGCACTTTCATAGATATTGTGGGACTTGTTTAGCTCTGACATGGTGAAAAAGAAAAAGGTCAGTGATAAATGTGCAGCGGAAATTGAAGTGCTCTTGAACTCGAAAGTTGAGTTCTGAAGTAAACACAGAGAGCAGCCGTTAAACAAAACATCCATTTGCAGTGAATTGTATCTAATCTTGAATTCACCAACAAATTAACCTGGTATGATAAAACGTTCTCTGTTGGTAATCATCTGAAATATCAACTTGGAATCATCACAAGTTGTTAGATTAGTTTTGCGTTAAGAAAAGTGATTATAAATCCTTACAATAATCCTGTTAAGATGGACAAGGCAACAAGCTTTTCTTTAAAAATTCAATTTTTGATTCGTATCCCAGGAAACCAGCGAAATAAAGCCTCTTTTGTTATCCTCCCCCCTCCTCTTAGACCCCATCTCCCTCCCCACTTCCTTCCTCTCATCCCTCCCATCCCGCCCTCCCACTGCTCAGGTGCCTGTTCTTGTTGAAGTCGCTGGCAATCGTGCGTTGCAATCTGGTTCCTACACATTCCTCTGTGCTTCTGATGAACAGAAAAGCTCATGAGGGACTTACATCCCTCCTCATCTTCATTTCACTCACAATTTTCCCATTGTTTTCTCCTCTTCCTCTCTCCTTTTAAGACTCATAACACCTCATTTCCATACCAGTCCGTGCTTTATTCCTCCATTTTAGACCATAATATTAGGAAAAGTCTTGTCAGACTCATTGCATGCCCTACTGTTTACATACACTGGCTGTGAGGCTTTCAAGGGTACCGTAGTGTTTGCAGCATCCTGCAGAAAATAAGGTGAGGTACTCTCAGAGGACGTGTCCCTGCAATCAGTGTATCGGGATATCATTGCAGTATTGGTTGAGGATCATTAACCTCCATTATTAGTGTGTGCTTAAACCTGATGATTAGTCACTTTACAGTATCGACTTGACTTTCCTTCAGGCAGGGAATCAGGGTGAAAATATCCCTTTATTCTAACGCTTGCTTCTGCTGAATCTTCCATGAGAAGAATTCCCCAGGTTTTAGTAATTAGATGAAAGTTTGGAGACGAGCAACTTTATTTTTAGTTCAAATTACATGTGGACTCGGTGAACCCTGCACAGTCAAGACTGTGCCAAATTACTCTGCCTCTCTCTGCGGTATATGAAGAAGAGAACATATCCTGAACACATTACCGGGGCTTTGTAGTGTAGCTGTTCTATTATTAAAAAGACAGTTTAGGTAAAAGATTTATGACCAAAACAAAAGTGTCAAAACTGTCAATGTTTGAAACCTTTCATTTACATCAGTTTTGCTGGATGGGACTGTAATATCTCTATGGCAATGACTCTTTGTCCAATGATACGATACAATACAATATAAGGCAATGTGATATGAGATGTTACAATATGATATCATGATACGAAATAAAACTTGCCACATGTAACAAACCACTAACACAGCCAAAAAAAAACAAAATACTGTTTGAAGGTTTTTCAAAAACTTTTTTTTTTAAAAAAAACAAAAAGTGCTAAACTTCCTCAGCTGTGTGATTGCCAGTAACTTGCTAATGCTAATACTCGGTTAGCGCGTGTGCTTCAGGGTGCAGCGCGCATGTGTGGGCGCATATACTAAAACACACGAGTCCGAGTTAGAGCCAAAAAAAAGTCAGTTTTAAGGTGTTGCGGCTTTTATTTAGCCATGGCAGCGCAACACGATGAATTGCACATAGGGGGAAGCCTGAACTTGGTTGTGTTGCGTTGGGGGAGCAACAAGGCAACACATGAGGCACATCACATGCTTGCTGTAGCTGCACGTAACAAGGGTGCATTCAAGGTGTTTTCCCAGCCCAGAAACTTATAGACACGCCACGCCATGCGGTGCATTAATGGTCTTTCTTCAATTATAATGGTTTTATGATCGTGAGAGGCCAAAATTGAAATCATGATAAAAATTTGATTAATCATCCAGCACTGTATAGTAATATGATAAGATACAATACAATGCCATATGGTACAATACAGTACGATACTGCATGTTAAAAAATGATACAATTTGATATGATAGGGTATAATAATATAACTTTAATTATGCAGCACCTTTTAAAAACAGAAATTTATAAAGTGCTTTGACAGACAAAACAGAGTAAATAACAATTATGGCAGCATAGGAGAAAGAGTGTGCAGGATGATACAATAAAATGTCTGATAAATTGACACAGATGTACCATTATGATGATAATGTATTAGTATAGTATAGTATCCTGGCTTAATTGATGTATTTCAAGACAGCCATGTCACAATATGTGATATAGATTAGAAGGAATATACAATAAAAGTATGCTAGTATTTCAAAGACAAAGTATCCACATTCAAATGCACAAGTCTGGACCACGAAGATATATAGTTTCATTACTTTAATCTACCCGATTTATAAAATAAGAACGGTGAGGAAGTTGAAACCATGCTCCAGTGCTTCGGTGAATATTATGCAAATATGTTCCATTAAGTTGAGACAGGGGAGCCTCCCCACCGTCTGTCAGGGTCTCCTGTCTCTTATTCCTGGAGCAGTGCAGCAGTTGAGTAGGTGTCACCTCTAATAAGCTGAGAAAACACCAACTGCAGCTCTTTACATTAGAATGAGAAAAAAAACACATTATATAACACAGTGCCTTAAGATATACAGTATATTATCATTTCAGCTGACCTATCTAGTTCTATCAGGGATCTAAAACGGTTTTGCTTATGACAGATTTTTGGGCCTAAAATAACTCAGTGTGTTTTTTAAATTTCTTCAGGATTCAGTTTTTATTGGCAGTGTCAGTCATGTTCGAGCATTCAGATGAGTTTCCAACAGGACTCTGCCAAAGTGACTAATTTTGAAACTCAGGTGATGAGATCGAACTGTTTAGTCACCTAAATATGCACATCTCTAGTTCCTAATAATGCAGTTCCTCATGATGATAAGAGAAATATGACTAAGCACATCCGAACACTCAACTTTGACTGAAGCCATTAAGATGTTGAGTCAAGTTCAGAAAGCAGAACTACTTTAAGTTTCAACATGATTTTGATATCTGACGAGCTTGTGTAATGTCATTAACCGGCTTCAGACCAATATCTCAGTATTTTTGAACATCAGTGTTTTGAACACACTCACCAGTGCAGTAGTGTCTACTTTATTCAGTGTACATTCAGTTCCTCTCTGTCATGTTCTTATTTTGCACTTTTGGTTCAGGTGCTCATAATCTAGGTTGTTGAAGCACTGAAATAACCAATCAGAGCGAGCGACACTGAAAGTCCTGCCCCCAGGGTCGAGCTGTGGTAACCTGACATTTAGTCATGACTCAGATGTTTGTGTGGGCAAAAAAAACACATCAGTCCAAAACATGAACAACTGTTTTATGGAAACTTCAGCCCTAATAAGGAGATTATTTTGTATATATCTGTATGCCGATAGTTCACTAGTGCACTACATCGTTTTCAGCGGTTTCGTTTTGAGAGATGATAGAAAAAAGTTAACGTTTTAAAGTGAGGTTTGGTGAAGTCGTCACTGAATGAAAAAATCGAAATCGAGTTTTCAGAAGAAAAAAATCAGGATCTTATTTTTGGCCAAAATCGTGCAGCCCTAGATCACACAAGTCTCTCCTGCGTCACTCTTCACCTGTTCCTCTTATTGTGAGTCTGATTTACAGACTAAACCAAACACATTTGATCCCACCATAAATGATAAATATATTCCCTTTTTAAAAAAAATAAAGACATTCACAGTTTCTGTAACGTGTCAGAGCTTCGCTGAGAGATGAAAGTCGGGCTGATGACAGGTTTTTATGCTAGCTACTTTTTTTTGTTCTTGCTGTTTACAACACATCAGAATATTTCCGTAATGTTTGCATACAGATAATATTCTCATTGTAAGCCGTCGTCGTGTGTTTACAGTGGTGTGTCACCTTATCAGCTGCACATAAAGGCAGAAATTTCAGACATGAACTTTTTAAGCTTTTGTCTCCTGACACCAATATCACACCAACAACACCACACATCTGAAGTGTGTTACAGTCACGATCGTGGATGTTTCCTCCGATTGCATGCTCTTGCAATTTCTTTTCAATTTCTCTCTGTTTTCTGATCCTGTCTGAGCTGCTGCATGTCCAAATGTCCAAACTTGTCAGCTCCATCGAACAGGTTGTTCCCCCGTACAATTCTCACAGTCCGCCTTTCCCCCAGTGGGCCTGTCTCTGTGTGACTCGGTGTTGCACCATGGGATACATTAACCCCCCGGTGAGCCAGATTATATCCTGGCAGGAGTTGAATCAAAGCTTGCGTGAGCGTACGTGTGCACACTTGAAAGTGCTCACACTCGTGCACATTCACACAGCTCACACGCCCACACATCTTCACAATGGGATCCCTCCATATCTGAGAGATTTTCCCATACCTGTGTAATTATATTACACTTAGAAAACACCCACTAAGCCACAGCTGTCCGTACAGTACACAGCGACCACCTACGCAATCTTTTTACAGCCGCAGCCAGTTCCTTCCTCCTCGTCTGCTAATAACCCTCTACGGCCCGTCTATCACACTCACACGGACGCATGCGAGTGTTGGAAAAAAAAAAGGATGTGAGACGACACTGTGGCTGTGTGTTAGTGTGCGATATAGCCTTGTTTCCCAGAGACCCGAGGAACAGCTGCTCACACACACACACACTCACACACCTACACACTCTGTCTGGAACTGAGAGTGCCTGTATTCACCGAGGAACAAGGCTGTTTCATGGGTGTATGATTGTCTCTGTTTCAGCCGGACCGAAATAGCCGGTCTTACGGTGAGTCACTCGACAATGACTCGGGGGATGGTCGGACTCGGTCGGTGCGTGAACACCACTCAAACTTTCTGTGGGCGCTCTTGACTTTCTGAACATGTTTGTCTTTGTTTGCGCTCGCGTTGACAGCAGGTTGTTGTTGAGATCTCAAGCTCTTAATAGATGTATTTTCCACCAGGATGGAAAGGAGAAGTGTGATTACCTGCCGGAGGTGAAACTGTCTCTGTCCTTGTCATCCCACCAGCTTTAACATTCGGTTTCATTACACCGGTGTTCTGTTTGAAGCTGTGTTTTCCCTGTAGATGTGTATTGATTCAGCACAGATTGAATCAACAGATAGGGGTGACCTTGAATGTGTGTGTTGACGGTTTGAAGGTGTCCCGTTCACAGAGTATTTGCATGCTAAATGGTTCTAACTGAACCTGGAACAGCTCCAAGGATGCTCTGTGGTGGATTAGGAAAGAGGAGATGAACGCTCACGGCACGCTCTGCGGAGAGGATTTTATTTGAGAAAGGTGAATGAAGAGAAATGAAAACAGGGTCAGTTCCTGTTTCTGAATGAACAGCTCCCGTTTCCTGACAGGACGGATTAAATCATCAGCAGCCGTACGGGAGATTTTCTCTTTCTGAGCCCAGTTACACCAAAACGATGATGATGGTTGTAACATGTGCTTGTAGATCTACTCTGCTGTGGAATAGTTTCCTATTTTTCAAGGAAGCGCTGTTGAAATATTCTTTTAGTGGTTTTAAAGTCTTGCTTCCTGATGGGCAACGAAGTATGAGGGCCAGAGTTCGTGGACAAAGATGGAGTTTTTCTCCATGGTGGAGAAACGCAAAGATAGATCATCAAATTTCAGTGAAGACATCAGGATCACGAAATGTATCACTTGGTAAAAATTTGGCTCAACTGGAGATGAAAATGTGAAATTTTATGAGAAATGGAATGACAGTCTTATCGAGGACTGGCTGTTATAGGTTACTTATTTCATTTCTCATCAGTCCTCATCGTATTTTTATGATAAATCGGTGACTTAGGATGCAGTGAGAGGACGCAACTGGATTGGACACAACACGACTAATACGACACGACATGACATGATATGATATATGATATATGACATGATATATAATATGATAATATCATTATATCATGTCATACTATGAACAATGGTATGGTATGATAAAATATGACTCTCATGAAAATCAAACAATATGATATGATATGATATGATGCAGGATAATTGGTCCGCAGTAACTATGATACCATAATACTACACTACCGTGATAATCCATATACTACAAGATGGTCATATAACAAAACATTTGACAAACATAAGGATGAAAAAGTGTCCCTGAAAGGTAGAGTGAAGGATTCGGTTTTAATTTCTACTGCTTTCGTACCTTTGCTGGTCAGAGTCCTGGGTTGTCAATAACAATTTTTAGTGCTGGTATATTGATAATTGTGTCACGCAGGTCATGTGATACTGTTGTAGTAAGAAGATCAATATTGTGTCCCTATGAAAAGCTTCATTTCTGTGTCTGTAAAAGAATTACCTGAGAGTCCATTCCTGTTTTTAAGAATCCAGAGAGACTCTATAAGAGACTTGTTTTGTCTGACCAACAGTCCACTGTATGATGTACTGATATTATTAAATACACAATAATATGAAACAGACAGGATTTAAACTCTCTAGATATGATTGAACCATAGGTTTTTAAGTGTTTCTCTTTAAAATGTAGGTACTGCAGTTCATTGATAGATCTATGAGTAAATTTTTTAAATTTCTAACAGACTAATCCTCTCAGTCGTTTTTACTTTAAAGAAGAAATAGAGATTACAACCCGGCGTTCCCCTCGGGACATGAAGTACTGCACTCTTACTCATCGCTGGCTCTCTTCCCAGGTCTGCACATGGGGGCGGGCAAGAGCAAGCCCAAAGAGCCGGGCCAGCGCTCCATGAGCCTGGACGGCACCATCGGCACCGGCTCGGACAGCGGGCACTTCCACCATCTGGGCCCCGCCCAGCAGACCCAAACCCCTAACAGGAGCCCTGCGGTGGGGACCGGGAGAAGGGGCCATCAGGGGCAGCACCAGCTCGCCCCGACAAACACTCCTGAGCTGGCTCTGTTCGGAGGGGTGGACCACACAGGGACCATCACCTCGCCTCAAAGGGGACCTCTGTCAGGTAGGTGAAAACTGGTTTTGCTGAGTCAGGCTATTAGTCGGTCATTTTGTCAAAGTTTTCTTTCGGACATGTTTTTATAAGACTGGAATAATCCGTCCCAGTCTAGAGTTCTCACAACAACAACGGATGTTTTATTTTGTGTCTGTGCCCGACTTCCTATCAGCACGGGTTAATCTGTGCTGAATTTATCCGCCATGCTCCGGCGTCCAGGAAAAATAGAACTCTTGTGATCAGCTGCAGAGTTCGGTGATCCACAGAGGAACGGAAAGAAGTCGGTGGAAATTGACACATTAACTTGAATGGTTACGATCGGCGGATGCGACCTTTTCGTAGCCATTCTGAATGCGGTGGAAATTGGGGGTTAGAGTTTTGAACATCTGTCCTGTACCAGTAAAAATCGAAGTATCTTGATACCTGCTCTGTTACTACAGCAACAAAAAACGGACTCCTAGACATCCAAATTGGTTCAGTCTTTGTCTGAAACAAAGCGAATCATTTCTAAGCCTCTGCTTCGTATTGATCAGTCAAACAGGAGAGTCGATTCAACTTCTTCATGTCGCTCTCTAAAAAGAAGCAAATGAATACTTCCCCTAAAATGTCACACCACTGCTTCAAATGTAAGTGACACGGTAAAACCACATTTATCTTGCGCACTGACCAGAAGATTGCAGAAAAAAGCCCACAGCTTCCTTGTTGAGGTTTCAAATCTGACGAGAACTTGGACCCGAGTTTGTGAGCAGAAAAACCGAAACTGTCCAAACTGATTCACAGTGAGTCATAGTTGCTCAGAACTAGATTTCCAAACTGTTTCTGTTTCCCAACATCAGCTGTCAAACCCTCTCTTTTACCTCACAGCCCGTCTCTCCACACCAAGCAGACTTTACTCCGCATTAGACTGTAATACGTCTAGACCGGCCAGATGGTTCATTTAATGTCGCTCCATCCAGAGAGCGAAGAGCTGCTGGTGCGTGAGGAGCTGCTCTGCTAGCCGCCTTCATCCGTGTGACTAACGAGTCGATCGATGATTGGCCGGAGAGCTCCCAGGTGCGGATCACAGGTTCATTAAAAAGAGGGCGGAGAGGCGGCACGGAAAATGGAAAGAGCTCGGCGTGACGGCTTTGTCCTTCACGGACAATCGGTCATGAGCAGCCTGGATGTCGATATTTCTCATTAGGCCCGTGATAAATAGTTTTATTTGGATATGAAGCAGATGTATCATAATAAGATTTATAGCTGCAGAGAGGATGGAGCAAATTATCATCAGGGCTGGAGCGGGAGTAAATGTGAACGAGGCTTAAGGGGAAGTTTAATCACATTGTTCCCTAACTGTGTGTGTGTGTCTACTTCTCTGTGTGTGTTTTGTCTTGCAGGAGGTGTCACTACATTTGTCGCGCTGTATGATTATGAGTCACGGACAGCGTCTGATCTGACCTTTAGGAAAGGCGACAGGCTGCAGATAGTCAACAACACGTAAGAACTAACAGTCCTCTTCCTCCCCCTCTTCCTCTTCCTCTCTCTGATTCCACGACCTAACCAAACACCGAACCAAACAGACATGTAGTCGCACAAATGTGTACGTGAATGAACACAGACAGAGCCGGTAAATGTGGAGCGATGCAGACAACAAAGTCTGATCTCCTCCATCTGTTTGCTAAAACGGAGCAGAGCGGCTCTTTACTAATGCAATCTGTTCCTGTTTGGGTGACTGTCACTCGTCATCCTCCTTAAAGCGAGCTTTTTAAAAACATCTTCTCCTTAATTTCCTCACAACACCTCAGAGAAAGGTTGAAGTTGGTCTGTGTTTCGGTGTAATTAAACAAAGAAATGTAAGTTTGCAGTAAAAGTCAGTGCTTTGATTGTTCAGTTGTTGATAGAGTAAAACATCTGCTGTATTATATTCAGATGGAGGTTTTTAATTCATCTTTCCTTATGAGCGTTTTCCTCATCTTTCAGCAAATAAATGTAATCTGTTCTTCTTTATACGCAACTATACAGCGGGGTTTGAGTCAATGTCACAGCAAGAGAGTTTCAGTTTCTACAATCCTCGTCCTGTAAAGTCGTGACGCTGTGTGAATTTAAGATGGTTTGAAAATCATTTATAATCTGATGTTAGTGTAAAGTTGAGATTTAAAACATGTTATTGCTTTTTGAAAAATACTTATATGTTTATTTTGAACTGTTTAAAAATACCGGACAACAAATCAGTGGCTTAAAAGCAACACTGAACAGGGCTCGACAGTGCGACCGTTTCACTCGCATTTGCAACTAAAGATAGATGTGTGCGAATTGTAAAATATATTGAGGGTCACGTGTGCCTAAAAAATCAGCCGAGGCAGCAGAAGTTATTTAATGTAAATAACGCGGTGAAGTTAGTTTTAGGTTGAATATTTGATGGACATTCACTGTGGATCTACCAGCGTCTTCTCACTCTCCATAACCAGGAATAACAACAGCAGCGCGGTTAAATCTACTCTGTACCCTCGCAGTCAACGTCGGGTGTTGAATAAGGGACCGTCAATAAATTACCAGTTGATGTTCTCTAAAAATGCTGTTTTCTGTCAATAGCTTACAAGTGACGTGACCAATTGACCAAAAAATTTTTTTAAAAAATAGTAGTACTACGGTCGACCAATGAGACACACATTATTTGATCAATTTTCAATGTGCCCCTAAAGTTCTTTGTGTGCTCCTTAGTGTCGAGCCCTGCTGGAGTAGAACCCTAGGTTTATTAGCAACAGGTTAGTCACATGACCAGGTATGAAAAGAACATTTAGAGAGGGAGAAAAATGAAAAATGTTCCTCAGTGTAAAATTGCAAAGAATCGTTTAATATCATTGAATTCGCTTTACAAATTCAATAAGGTAGAGCTAGATGTCTGTGATTTGATCTTCAGGCCCTTTAAGTGCCTCTGCATTAAAAATAGAAATGACTCTGGAGTGGAAATCACAGCATGGGCTCAAAATCAGTATCCAAAAGCAAACATCTGTGATATAATTTTCAATTAAATTCAAGTTTCAAATGATTTTCAAACCATCAAAATCTGTTTGTGTCCACATTTTCCACAGCGTCTCGACTATTTCAAACTGGGATTGTACTTTTTAAGTATTTTATTTATCACTACTTAAAGTAAATCTGGACTCAAAAGTTGTGGAATTTGATCTGAAGCGAGTCCCACATGATCCCTCTCTGCTTCTGTGATCATTTATAGAGTATATTTCCACTATCTTCTATTCCTGAAGTAATAAAACTGAAACAAACGTCGCTCTGATTGGAATAGGAGCTTCTTTAAAAACACAGACGTTCACACAGACCCCGCTGTGTGGTCCCTCAGCATTATCAGCTCCTCTGCTGTCTGACTGTCCGTCTGTGTTTCTCGCCTTGCTGCGTCTCCTGGCTGTGTTTTTGATGTGTCTGCTGTGTCTGTTATCTCTCCCTCTCTCTTTCTCTCTATCCTTCTCATGCTTCATGGTTTCTCCTAGGAAAAAGTACAGCTTCAGGTCAGTAATACTTAATGCAATAAAAAAAAAAAAAAAACCTCACGCAACCTTTTGTTCGCAGTCCCTCAGCCGCCGCTCGGGTTTGTTTGATCATAGTGTAACTGTGATAAATTAGTTATTATTAGAGATGGAGGGAAACATGCTCTGTAGGCGACAGATTAAAGGGAGTTAAAGAGTTTAAAGTGTAAAGTGAGGGACGACGAGCGGAACAAAAGGTTGCCTGTGTTTGCCTGTTTCCTCTTTTAACAATGATTTTCTTCACGTTACCCTGAACTCTGGTGTGGGTGGGAAGTGTGTGTGTGTGTGTGTTTTTAAGTCCTAACCTTTAGGCTTCCTCTTTCATATGTAAAGATCCTTTTGGCTCATAAGTCAAAGAGTGTGGGTGTTCGGCTTGTTAATGAGGTTCATATTTCACTGGGACACATTCTGTAGCATCCTGTGGTGAATACACTGTCGTGTTTCCAAACACTCGGTTACAGGTTTTCAAATTAGGAACAAGTCCAATAAGAAGGACCAAAATAAATGTACTCTACGAGCGAGTTTGGTCTCTGCGGATCTGAAATGTTGCCCAAGATTCATTGAAGAGACACGAATGAGGCACATTCTGGTTTTTAATGAGTCATCGCCATGTGTAACTTCCTCAGGCTGTAGAGACACTGAAGCGTAGGCCTGGGCGATTTGGCAAATAAAATGATCACGTGATATTTTGTCATATCGTCCGATCTCGATTATTATCACGATATTTTTTAAACTGCCAGTTTTAAAGCATCTGAACTACAAACTGAAGAAACTAGAGATTAGTTCAACATTTTATTAACATACAAAGTAAATAACAAAACAGATGCTCCATTAGCTCCACGTTCGGTCATTCTGTTTACTCTCCCAGTTTATACTGCGTTCAAGTTATCTCAGAAGTCAGATGTCCGACCTGGGAATGACGTCACACCTGAGTTACCAGCGTTTCAGTCACCGAGTCAGAAAAAAGCAAAATCAGAGGCGGGAAGAGACGGCTACATCTACGAAAGGGGACGCTAAAATAACTTAAAATAACTGAAATAAGCGCTAAAATAACTTTCGTAGATGTTGCCATCTCGTTTCTGCCTCCAATTTTTCTTTTTTTCGACTTGGTAACTGAAACGCTGGTATCTCTGGTGTGACGTCATTTTCAGCTCTGATATCTGACTTTTTCACCGTGATCGAACTGAAATTTATCCAATCATATGATCGCCCAGTCCTACGTCTAGTGCACAGAAAGTTTTCATCCACATCTATAAATAGCTCCTTACACACGTGTACATTTTCAGTACTTTACGATGAATAATCCTTTCATTTTGAGCGACATGTACGTGTCTGTATATTAATTTAAAAAGTAGATCAGTACCAATGTTCAAATTTGGTCTTTTCATGGTTTGGGCTGCCAAAAGTTACGATAAGTCGCAGAGACTAAAATATCGTTGTAGCATTCATGCTGTTTGCCTCAGTCAGTTTTCCCTCAATGGTTGACTCTTGCCCTCTTGTTTTCTTTCTCTCTCTCTCTTGTTTTCTTTCTCTCTCTCTCTCTTGTTTTCTTTCCGTCACAGAGAAGGGGACTGGTGGCTCGCCCGCTCACTAACAACAGGAGAGAGCGGATACATCCCAAGCAACTACGTGGCTCCTTCTGACTCCATCCAAGCAGAAGAGTACATTAATCCTCTCTATGTTTCACTCTTGTAGATTTGAAGGCTCTTGTTTCTTAGTCTAAAGCCTGAATGTTGCACCATACTCAATGCTATCTCTATCCTTAGCTAATACAGAGAGTATAGAGACAGTATGTTCAGATATACCTCCCAGTGCAGCTGTCTATATTTCCTGTGAAAAAGTCCTCTGCCTCCTCCAGACGCTCAGTAGTAGCTCCACACTGATCTCATTCTCCGTGGCCCACTTTGGCAGGTGGTATTTTGGGAAGATCACTCGGCGCGACTCGGAGAGGCTCCTTTTGAACTTGCAGAACAGACGAGGAACCTTCCTGGTGAGAGAGAGCGAGACCACGAAAGGTGAGCGAGAGCAGACGTCTGCGTCACTTCAGAGGTTACAGTCGTTATCAAGATGGGCCAATTAATGCTCCTGCTTTTCTCCCCCGCCTGTTTATTACGATGCATTAAATCTGAGTCTGTCAGGTAATTCTCTCTCTGATAAATGAGAGTTATGACATTTTGTCATGACTGTGTTGTCTTAAATTACTTTGAATAATAAGTCTCCAGCTCTGCATTTGAAAATCCCCGTCAGGAGCATTTCGTTAACATCAAATTTGCTGTTTCTTCTTATTCTTCATCCAGTTTACCCCCCTGCAGATGGTTTTACAAATTAAAAATCACTTTATAGAAACAGTCTTTTATCTTGCTAATGGTTTTGTTTGCTTTTATAGCTCATTAAGAGACAGGAGTAGTCGTTTCAGCTTGTTTTATAACCAGTAAAAAAAAACTCCCCACAGGAGCTTTAGGCTAAAAAAAATGAACTCATCAACAAAAACTGAAGCTCCTGTGAGGAGTTTCACCTGATATAACCTGAAAAAATGACTAATGACCAATAAGAGATTAAAAAAGAACAAACGCAGGATGAGTTTTTTATTATTTTATTATTTTATATATATATATATATATATATATATATATATATATATATATATATATATTGTACATGCACAAGAAAAAAAAGATCAGAATAAGGTTTATTGGCCAATACAAGAAATATGATTCTGTCAAACTTTGCTTTTATTCAGTAAACATTAAATAATATGCTAATACAGTTGGGGTGGGAATCACCAGTGGTCCAAGGATACAATACTATCACTATACTTGGGCCATGATACGATATTATCACGATACTTGGGCTTCGATACGATATTTTCCCGATACCTGGGCCACGATACTTGGGCGGCGATTAGATATTATTGTGATTTTTAACATTTTGCAATACAGTGAGTATTGTGCTCCAATTTTTGCGATTTCTTCAATTTTTTTCGTAACTGTTTAGTTAATTTAGCATTAGTGTTTCCTTTATGTTTGTCTTATTTACGCTGTATTTTATTTCCATGTAGCACATCTTGCTAATCTTATATATGTATTTGTTGCACTAACTTTTTCCTGCTCTATAATGCCAACCTCACTGGACAAACAGTTGATTTATTTTTCCATTATCATAGATTTGACTTCATATTAGCAATAAATTAGAAAAAAACTGTACTTAGTAAATGAGACAAAACAATATATCACCAGACAAAATATTGCAGTATTATGCTCTATCAATTTTTTTTCTCCCACCCCTATAATATATGCGAGCCAACTTTACATATCAAACATTTAACTTATAGATACAAGACTGTTCAACATAATAGTGCAAAGGAAACAGAATAATAAAGAATATGTCCATATGTCCTGAACATGCACATATGTAATTATGTAACAGATGGGCTCATATATGGAGTAGATATCCATGCATTTTCATACAGCATTGATCATGTGCGTGCCAGCTGAAGGGATGAGATATTCATGATTAGTGGTGAAGTAAAATCATGTTAGATTCATGATCAGGGGTCACTGAGATCCTCACAGACTCCATCTTCTTAAACACGCTTTAATTTAATGGAAATATTTAATCTATTTCATTCTGTTTTTGATGTTTTTTTCTTGGGCTTTTTTTCATCTGCGTGAAGAAAGTCAGAGAGAAAAGGTTCAGAGGACAGCGAGTGAAAAAGGGCTGCAGCCTCTGTGCATGGGGTGCAGTTTGGCCTCTAGGCTGAACTGCTTCCTCATTTCTTCACTTTTTTTTAAAAAATGATTTGAAGAAAAAAAACAAAAAATGTTCTAAAATGCATTTAGGAATTTTTCACAACTTTTTGACATTTTATACACCAAGTGATCAGTCTAATTTGACTGATAATGGGCTTTATTATGAGGAAAAGAGAAGCTCGATGTAGCAGCACTGCATCCAAACATTTCCAAACGTCTCTGTGACAAATTGAAGCTCCATATAAGCAAAGATTATAATATGGTAGACAGAGTGACAGAGCTGTCGAGCTGCGCCTCCTACAAGTTCACCAGCATGTCAGGAGCTTTGTGTTTTTCCAGTCGGAGAAAAAGTACTGACTAGAAAACACGAAACATAAAAGCTCGTTGTTCTGCTCGCTGAGTTTCTAAAACGTGTGAAAAAAGGAGGTGACGACGCCTTCATCATCGTGTCCCTCGAGTTTTCTCAGCACAGTGAGTGCGAACTTACTTTGAATTAAGTCGATCTTCAGGGACACGAGCTGAAAGAGGAAGCCGCTCATAATTAAGTCATTTGTTAACTTTCACACAGGCCGGTAGTGTTGTATCTAGATCTCAAAAAAAACCCTCTGCTGTCTGATCTGGTCCCTGTGACGTAGGTGAGCTCTTCAGGGGGTTGTTTTTTGGAGGAAGTGGGGGAAGAAATAGGAAAAGAGCTCAGTGGAGTGGAGTGGAGCTGGTGAATGGATAGGGGTGAATCACTCTGCCAGAACTAGGTCAACCTAGGAGGGTGCTGGATTTCCCTGTGGCTATAAGTCTCTGTTCTCCAAGAGAGAGGGGAGGGAGACTTGTAGGAAAAGGGGGAGGAACAGGCAGAGAAGGAGGAGCTCTGGCAGGAGGTGTGTTGGCCTCTGGCTTAGTTTGGATTAGATGTCAAATGTGAGGCTCTGAGTTTGACAGAGAGGAGCAGAAGCACGCTGCTCCAAGAGTAGATCACGCCAGACTGTGAATAAAACATCTGATCAGACGCACACAGGTCCATGTTTTGGTGCAGATGAATTATATACTGTTTAGCATGGATTGTTTTTTAGCATGAAAGGTTTTGGAGATCCAGGGTTCCTCTGATCGGGTCCTCTCAGTTAAATTCCTGTGTGTTTACGATCACTGCAGGGAGGCGAGTTTTTCTTCAAGAGGGGTTTCTTTTCAGTCAGCAAAACTCCAGATCAAAGAGATTGATTTTTCATTTTCCTTCACTGTGTTACATCCTCCCTGTGGAGCTGAGGTCTGCTGAACCAGCTCAGCTCTTTAAACCACACTTTTGAGGTCTTCAAGACTTCGTTTCTTACACGTCTTTGACCCTTCGACCTTTTTTTTTAGCCGCTCTTTATCTTTTGTGTTTTAACGGTTGTTTTCTAACGTCAATGTTATCAAAGTTCGGTTCAGTGAGATCAAACCGGGGGAGAAAGGAGGGAAAGGCGTCTTTGCATTTCAAGGGCCCTTTGAGGGGCCAACAGGGACTCAGCCTGCACAGCTGCTGTGTCAGGAGAGTCTCCGGAGCAGCTGTCACACAGGCCCAGATCTGTCCGCTGTCACTGCTCTAACCTGTCTCCGTCTGTCTGTCACAGGAGCATACTGCCTGTCAGTGCTGGATTATGACAACACCAAAGGCCTGAATGTGAAACATTACAAGATCAGGAAGCTGGACAACGGAGGTTTCTACATCACCTCCCGTACCCAGTTCACCAGCCTGCAGCAGCTAGTCTTCCACTACCGCAGTGAGTCCAGCCGCCCTCTCATGGTCAACAAACCACCGAGGATGTGAGGATGTGAGGATGTGAGCGCGGTCCTCGGCTGACTCCTCTGCTTCCTTGTCTTTCAGAGCACTCTGATGGTCTGTGCCACGCTCTCACAGACGTGTGTCCCGTGGCCAAACCTCAGACCCAGGGACTGGCCAGAGACGCCTGGGAGATTCCCCGAGAGTCTCTCCGCTTGGACCTTAAACTAGGACAGGGCTGCTTTGGAGAAGTCTGGATGGGTAAGAATCACACACTGATACAGACTGACGCTCTTACTCTGTTCGCTTAAAAATACAGCGTGTGAATCAATGTGGAGGTTAGTATGGTAGGAACGATTACAAAGATTATATTCTTTAACTACTGATCTATTGGCTTTGCTTTAGTAATGCAAACATTGGGTTTTGTAAATATGTGTTAATTAACCTATGGAATAGGGCTGCACGATTTTGGCCAAAAATAAAATTCAGATTTTTTTCTGAGTTTACGATTTTGATTTTTTATTCAGTGACAACTTCACCAAACTTCGCTTTAATAATAAAAATTTTATCGCATAAAACAAAACCACTGAAAAAATTTATGTAGTTCATATGCCAAGCCAGTAAGTGGCGATGTAACGCTGCACAGGAAATGCACAAAAGTCAGAAGAAGAGTGCAGAGCATGTGTATAAAGGTTGTTTCGGCCAGACAAACGCGCAGACGCCATAAAAGAGTTACTCTGTGTGTCACATGATCGTTTCCAGAGATGCAGATAGACATCCACACGGAGATGAAATGGTCGTTGTTTACAGATTTATTCACTCTCTGACATGTTTTAAAAAAGTACCGTTTACAGTCACCTGAAACGCCGATACGACAAAAAACTTTGGCGTTTACTCCTGAATTCGTTTCCGTGGTGACGGGTTGATACCGCCTTCAGACAGACTTTACAGCGGGGAGTGGTTTACTCTTCATCTGAAACTGTGAAGTCGTACCAATTCAACACGACTGACTCGCTCTTGTCCTATTTAACCACGAAATTATCACCTTCTTTTGCAAACGCCATGTTTGTTTACACTGGTGTGTGTGGGACGCGGTTTTTTTTGTAGGACGGTAGGAGAAAGTCCCGCCTCCTTCACCTCTGATTGGCTAGAAAAGCTGAAAACTGAACATTACAGAACACTATCGCACTTCTTAACCTCCTAACCCTAACCCGACAGACGATGACGTTTCACAGCCATTAGGAATAACCAATCAGAGCCCAGCACTTCTAGCCAATCAGAGGCGAAGGAGGGCGGGACCTTCCCCCTACCATCCTACAAAAAGAAATTTGGCCTCCTGCAGGAACGGGGAGCCTACGGTGGCCTGGAGGCGTGAGACATGATAGAGAGGAAAATCGATTTGATGATTTTAATTTTTTATACATCATCATAAACAAATAATCCGATTACGAAATAAAATTGATTTATCGTGCAGCCCTTTTTAAGCTATTTGAAAATTTTGAGGATTATTTTTTGCTGTTGAAGATGAAAAGAGGAACGTTTCTAGGAGAGGAAGAAGGAGACATGCAGGGAAAACCTGAGGCTACGTCTGCTGCGTTCAGGTCTATGGCCTCAGTTTATGTGCCGAGCTAAACTGACTCCCTCCAACGACAAACATCCGGGCTGACAGGCTTCTCCATGATCACACAGCCGATAGTGAGAGATAAAATCAGAAAAGCTGTCTCCCTGAAATCCTAAACTAATCCTTGAATCTACTACTCTAGAGGAGATCTTACAGTGATCCTGTTTTGTTACTTTTCTTTCCCTGACAGGTACGTGGAACGGTACAACACGGGTAGCCATTAAAACCCTGAAGCCCGGCACCATGTCTCCAGAGGCGTTTCTTCAGGAAGCTCAGGTCATGAAGAAGCTGAGGCACGAGAAGCTGGTGCAGCTGTACGCCGTGGTGTCTGAGGAGCCGATCTACATCGTGACTGAATACATGAGCCAAGGTAGACCAGGAACCAGACTCTTAAAGCTGCTGTGAGGAACGTCTGATTCGGTCAAGAGAGAGAGAGAGAGAGAGAGAGAGATACCTCATCTGTCTTATCTTGTGTATTTGAAGAGAACTGTTGTCAAACTAAAATCTTCATCCTGTAATCTTTGAGTCTGTGAGTGTCTGTTACGGAGAAAGTCACAAAAGGCAGTTTTTTCAGCCTGCCGTCGATCATCCGGTCTGACACAAACCCCCTACAGCTGTTCTAGGTCATAAAATCTACAGCAGAGAAAACATCAGGCTTGTTCCTGATGGTCTTGTTTGCTACTGGAGTCAGTATCAGTTCTTAACCAGTTAAAAACTCCTCACTGTGCCTTTAAGAATTCTGGGTATCAAAGTTAAACTGTGTATTTTTGTTTTTGTACCAAAATCTTTAAACCTTGCTGATCTTGCACTTTCAGGTAGTTTACTGGATTTCCTGAAAGGAGAAGCAGGAAAGATGCTTCGTCTGCCTCAGCTCGTCGACATGTCTGCTCAGGTAACATGACTCACAGTTCACCTGCACCAGTCTCACTTATCTTCAGGGATGGAAATCATCAAGAATTTAGCAATTCTAATTCCATTATCGACTGATTCCTTATCGATTCTGAGATCGATAAGGAGAAAAAACTACATAATACAAATGGGTACCGTATTTTTCGGACTATAAGGCGCACTTAAATTTTCTCAAAAACTGACAGTGCACCTTATGTATGATTACTTGTTGTGCTTACTGACCGATTTTATGTCGTACAATGCGCTTAAAAATCTGTCGTAATGTGTAAGTACGACTTTGGTAAGCAAATGTTTCTGCATATCAGAAGTATTTACCCCCTTTGACGAAATTAAAGCTTCTAAAGCTCTAAAAAAGCACCGGTTATCGATTGTCATCCCTACTTATCTTTGTACGTCTTCTGAGAATCTCCGCCCTCTCTTTCTCCTCTCTGCCTGCAGATTGCAGCAGGCATGGCCTACGTGGAGAGGATGAACTACGTCCACAGAGACCTGCGAGCCGCAAACATCCTGGTGGGAGACAGTCTGGTGTGTAAAGTGGCCGACTTTGGACTGGCGAGACTCATCGAAGACAACGAGTACACGGCGAGGCAGGGTAAGTCCACCGCAGATTCCTCTTCTATTCCTTTTACTTTGAACATGAGGTGGATGAAGTTTTAAAATGAGTTTGTTAAGAGATTGAAAGTATCTAGAAGTGGACGGACATGTTTCTGGGTGTTATTATATCACCCATTCTTGAGAGTCGGGACAAAACATGTCCTACATAGAAAAGTCTAATTTATTCAAAACAATTAAGAAATTCTAAATGTTTGACATACTCAAAAAGTTAAATCTAATGGATTTGTGTATACCAATCCTATTTTTTAGCACAGATATTTACTTTTTTGAAGGATATTTGTTTAAATGAAACGTCTGTGGTTAGAAGGTCCATGTTATTGCTTGTGTCCTCAGCAAGAGGTCACAATATTGACCAGCGCCAAAAAACTTTAAAAAACTCTATAATTGTGAAAACATATACATCAAATAAAAATTCAGGGCTATAAATATATAAACAATGAATGGCCTGAACATCAAATAGCTTTTTGCCTATAAATCTGCCTATCAAAGTTGTGTCCTCAGTTTCTGTCAACTCCATCAGATTATTCTATAAACCTCATTAAATCATGCAATATCATGGTCAGCTATATCCCTGAGGACCCCTTTTCATTTCCTGCTTCTGGTGAATGCAACACCACCACACATGGTCTGGTAGGTTTTACAGTTTTTGATATTTTAGACAAACAATGTCAATATTTGTATGGTCACAGCTGGACCATGTCAACACCGTCTCTCCATTATTATACTTTTTTTTAAACCATAGTGAGTTCAATTAAAGTATTTTAGTGAGATTATCAGGACAGCTAGCAACTGCCAAAAAAGTAGCTAGCTGCACTGTACAATAAATGTTTTGGAGGGAAAATACATGCCCTTACGTCAACTCCGTCAGACGTCAACTCCGTCAGATTTTGTGTCTGACGGAGTTGACATGTAAGCTGATGGAGTTGACAAATCCACCTATAACCTCTTAATGTGCTGACACTATGCTATTTTTGAACATGGTTAAGGATAACAATGTTATTCCAGGGTCTTATCTGCACATAAAAGTACATATATAGCATATATTACGTTATTTTACCATATACTTCTGTTTTGTAGAGTAGACCATGGGCAGGCTGTCTGCTTAATTATAACTGTCAAACTTTCCCAACACACACACACACACACACACACACACACACCTAATCTCATTGATTGATTGATTAATGTACAATCCTGAAGGTGCAGTATGTAATTTTCACTACCTAAAATCTACACACTGGCTTCTTATAGAGTGCGCAAGAAGTTCTATGTTGCTCTTTTAAACCCCAGTGTAGGTGGGATACCAGATAGAAGAAAAAGGTTATTATTTTTACATTGTTAACTTGGACCCTCAGACCTTGGGCTCTATTTTTGTGTCCACCGGCGACATGGCGGAGGGTGGCGAACCCCGCGCAGTGGCATTTTCGTCTGGCGGAGCTCAGCGTACAGCCAGTTTGGTATTTTCGTGGACTGAGGTGCACTGAGGTCCGCCAAGCTGGGCGTGGATGTGTGGCAGGGTGAGGTGTCCACAGAATCAGCTGGTGCAGTGACATTTTCGTACTTGTTGCCGGCGTGTAAAGTGCGCTGAAAGCTCGCAGATTCAAACCTGGTCAGCTTTCAGCGCAGGTGGATCCGGATGGGCTAGTGGTATTTTGGGAGACCGGCGGCATATCGGACTCACCAGCAGGTTTCCACAGTGTCAGGAACATTTCCGTGCAATAAATAATCAATAACAACTAATAATCTGTGTCAGCACATACATTTAGATCTATATCGATATATTCTGATCTATATCTGATCTGATGAGCGCATTTGGCATGCGTTTGGACACTCAACCTGACCAAATTAACACAGCTGCTGAATCCGCATGAAATTGAATCAAATATCTAGTAAATAAACACACATGATGAAGTTAACAAGATATTTAATTTGTCTGCCCCCATTTCTAGCTTCCTCTTCCTCTTATTTCTCGCGCAGCTCAACCTGGACATGTCTTTGTGTCCTCTACCCGTCCTGCTGCAGCTGCTGCTGCGGCAGCTGAACAGATGATTTGTTCCAGTGATCAGATGAGTTTTTTACTTTAAGCCTACATACAAATATTATAATAATCAGTTTTGTGAGCCAAATTTATTTTATATGCCAACATCTATGAAAGAAAGAGCCAGGCCACGGAGCGCGATTTACACACAGATTGGTTCCGATTTTAATGCCATTATTGGAATTTATGTTGTGACCTTTGCGCACAACCCACCTTTGTCACGTGAGGTTTAAATATATGCAATTTAATGTGATTGTCTTTATTTGTGGAAAAGGGTGTTTGTCTTACCAGTGGGTCCAACATTACACACACCAAATCCATCTGTGCTTATATGAGACAGTGCGGAGGACGCCCAATGCAGCGCTTACAGTGACACTTGTTGAGGAGCTGCCTTCTGTCGCCATCGTGTGGCATTGCTGTCTTCAGACATCTCTTGATCTCTTTGACTACTTCACGAAAATGGTAATACGCCTCGCTAGTGGCGGATTCAAAGGCGAGAAGAGCTGATGTTATTGGTCAATACAGGTCTCGGCTGTGTTAAATCCACTCAACGCCCTCTCTCCTCCCTCCCTATGACCTACGCCGCTGGAAGGAGCTGAGTTAGGGGAGGGGGGATACTTATGCCGGGCTGCACAACTCACCAAAATACGAAAATGTGCTTGGAAACGCCTTGTCGGCGCGGTGGTTAATTGCATTAACGGTATGTTCAGTATGAAAACAAGGAGTTATTAGTTCTTAATCTATTTTCACCTATTGACCTATTGTCAATCGGTTTAAAAACACATTTGTTCAATAACATATGCAATGTCATCAACTCCGTCAGTTTCTCGTCAACTCCGTCAGGTGTTCGTCAACACCGTCAGATGTATGTTTTTCTTCAATTTTGGAGAAAAAAAAAATTGTTTCTTCAGTTTATATTGTTTAAGTAATAAAGGAGCATTGGCTCTACATCCTCTTGTGTCTTATTTACTTACAGAAATTGTTTTTATAATATAAAAATTAAAAACAAAGTTTGAAAATGCAACTATTTAGAAATCTTGGTTTTCAAAATAGTGTGAAATCACACATTAGGTTTATATATTATATTTCATGGCATATCAGAGTAACTAAACACTATTACAACATACATCAGAACTTTAGATTCTTGTTGGACTAGAATTATTAAAATTATATTCTTTTTTGTGTGTCTGATGGAGTTGACACAAATCCACTGTCTAAGGGAAACATATTAATTTATAGAAAAAATGTTTTTATTTAGAGCCTGTTCCTTTACGGGGTTAAATAGCTAAGACCTTTCTCTACAGTAATAAATAACTCTAATCAATATAGTGTGCATTCTCAAAAAAAGTTTTTTAGGAAGTGTTTTGTCCCGACTCTCAAGAATCCCTGATATGTGTCTTAAAACAACTTTACTTTGTATCGGTAGGAGCCAAGTTTCCAATCAAGTGGACAGCACCTGAGGCGGCTCTGTACGGTCGATTCACCATCAAATCTGATGTCTGGTCTTTTGGTGTTCTGCTCACAGAGCTGGCAACTAAAGGCAGAGTCCCCTATCCAGGTACGGACTCCACATGACCTACAGCACCTGAATATTTCCACATTCAGTCATAACAACTGTATTCAAACAGCATCTGTCAAAGCTACCGTTACAAAACAGTCATAGAAAAATCACAGCAGGAGGAATTAGATTCAAAATACAACATTTAAAAAAAGGATCGACCAATAAGCAGCACGGCCGATAATACTGGCTGATATTCAACATTTTTGCAATAATCAGCATCGGACGTTTTTTCCACCAATAGTCGATAATATAAGTTTATTTTAAAATGTGCTCGTTCGGCTCTTAAACAGCCGCCTCTCTCTACCTGAAGTCCCCACTCTTGGCTGTGTAACAATGTCCCGCCTACAGTCTCCACCGATTGGCTACACAGACAGCCAATCAATACTCGAGCTTCTCGGTGCGGGTGTGTGCCGCCGCTGCTTTATTTTAGCCTGCCTCTCAACAAACGGCATCATTCCCGAGGCTCAAGCTTCACAATCAAAAATAAGATTCTTCAACTTACACTTCTCATAAAACCACCTGCTCACAGTTATTACAAACACCATGAAGCATGGAGAACTCAAACAAAAGAAACAAACTAGCAGGTAACAACACCGCCAGTAGTGGTCATATGGAGCTAGCATGCGCTACTTCCGGTTCTTTTTTCATTTCAAAATAAAAGCATGTGTTTCAAAATTAGACCAAAATATACATTTTTACTGCAAATGAATATCGGTTTCCTTGATTACTAATAATCGGTCTCGGTATTGACCCTTAAAAATCCATATCAGTTGTTCCTTAGTTTAAATATCCGTTATGAGCATGTTTCATTTATGATATTTTAGGGATATACATGAAAACTTCTGGTGTTATACTGATCGAGAACTTTGTTTTAATGAGACAGTTTGTTTTCCCGTCATGTGACCCTAACCCCGTGTTCCTCCGCTCAGGTATGGTTAACCGTGAAGTGCTGGACCAGGTGGAGCGCGGCTACAGGATGCCCTGCCCGGCCGAGTGCCCCAGCTCCTTACACGAGCTCATGCTCTCCTGCTGGAGGAAAGACCCGGAGGAGAGGCCGACGTTCGAGTACCTGCAGGGCTTCCTAGAGGACTACTTCACCTCCACAGAACCCCAGTATCAGCCCGGGGAGAACCTATAGAACCACACTGAACCAAACCTGGGGAGGAGGAACCCCCCCTACACAGAACAATCTGCACTAAATGACCTCAGAGGAGAACCTGCAGGAGGATCTGAACCTGTGAAACTCACCTGAGAGGAACTCCAGATTCTTCTGTAGGAGTGAAACCGAGATAGGAACTGTAAAGAGCTATCATCATGTGCCATAAAGGAACTGCTGCAGAAGAATCTGGAGGACCTCCCGTCTGCGAGCGCTCACTGTTCACTGACAGTTTCTCTGCAGGAGCGAGGCGCCGGGCTGTGAAGGGGAACTCCTGCTGGAACCACTCTGGCTCTGATTTACTGGGGGTGGGGGAGGGATTATATATTTGCGGGTAAACGTTCCTGAGAGGTGCGACTGCTGTGGGAGGAACCGAATCAGGATTTTCAGACGCAATGAGAGGAAAGGAATAAACCGCGGGGCGAAGGAGAGAGAAAGTCAGGGGAGGATATTTCAATCGGACACTTCGCGTACCCTCCCTCTTTCCCTCTTCTGTCGTCTCCTAACCCTCGTCTGGTACCTTTCTCCGCCCACAGAAGAGCACCACCGCTGTGGCTCAGGTGCCAAAGTAAAGTCTGTCTCTTCATGTCTCCCCCCCCTCTGCCTCTTTTCCTCTGGTTTTTCTGTCCGATCTTTCTGTCCGATTTCCCCTCCCTGTTTTTTCTCAAGTGCTGCTTCTTCAAAGTGTCTCCAAAAATCTCAGCTCTGGAACTCAACTCCGCATCGTTTATTTACGTTTACTCGGACAAAACGCATCCTGTAATCGAATGTTTTTGTTCAGTAGCAATCAGAGACCCCAGTTCTCCGTGTATTTTCTGTAACTACGAGTAGGCAAAGTTATTAGAACCATATCAAGGTGTAGAGCTGACGTAGATGTGCTCAGCTGGCAGATTCTGTAACACTCCAAATTAGGTTAACTCGATTCAAACTTGAGGCCTTCTCTCTCTCTCTCTCTCTCTCTCCTCTGTTTGTCTTGCTGTATTTCTCGACATACAATCAGCTGGAAACGACCTCGACTATTAAAAACAATCTGATGCAGGTAGTGTTTGAATTCTTCTTGATTTTTACTGACCCTGATTTGAACTGGAAATCAGCACGCTTCAGTTTGAGTGGTTTTAATGCTCATTTCCTCAGAGGCATCCATGGGGTAACTTCCATCCAACATTCATGTGACCTACTAAGAGGCTACCAAACTGATCACATATCTGAAGAGTGAAAAAGCCTTCCATTCGAACCGATCCCATCTCTTCACTGCTGTCCATGTATATAATGTTTTATTATTATCAAGGGGGGCTTACGTGTGGGTTTTAAGTTCTTACACAGGCGACAGTTTACTCAAAGTTTGTAACATAACTGCATCGTTCCCCCTTGTAAACTTCTCATTAGTACAACCTCGATTCCAGACGGAGATGGGAAGTTGTGGAAAATGTTCATGAAAACAGAATTTGATGGTTTGCAGATCATTTAAACCCTTTAAAACGCTGAAACTGAAAACTTATCTGCTTAGATCTATCTATCTCGTTATAGTGTGTGCAAAAAAACTAGTTTGGCATCTTCTTACTTTTTTAAATGCAAAGTCTTCCCTGAGAAAGTCCTCGTCTAAATGGCTCCATATATCGTTCAGCATTCAGCATGCTTGCTTTTAAAGTCTGCACCAAAAACAAGTCAGGTGGCGCCTCTTCTCTTGAGAGTAGAGCAGAATAGATATCGTCCGTTATTTCCAACAGTGTCGATCTTGATTTGTCAGACCACTGGAGAGTTTTTCCACCTGTCTCAGTTTATCTTTCCTGAGCTCAGGCCGGAGAAATAGCCAGTTTATAGTTTCCTCTCTGCCTTTTACAAATTCACCTTGAATTACATGGATGCAGCGACACAAACTCTCTGCTCACAGACAGGATTTTTGGTTTGTGATGCTGGGATTTCAGCGCATGCAGATCAGGCGGATCAAAAACGCATGCATACAGCGCCCATCAGATCCGATCACGAGACTGGACGAGATCTCACGTTTCACTGTGAGACATTAAATAAGTTCGGCGGTGTATATAAACACCCACATCCTATAACCCTGGCCTCTTCTATTATCATGTGAAGAACAGTTCAACATAGTGACTTTATTTTAATTTGAAAATTAACCAGATATTTTACTCTGTATCCGCATACAACTTCCGCTGCCGCTTGTGCTGCACTGTACTGAAGTGATGCGTTGTGCTGCGGTGTCCTGCAAAAATAAAAGCCTTGCGTATCTGATCCTCAGCAGAGCCGGACGGATTATGTGAAATCACACACATTGATTATAATGCTTGCATATTTGATCAGGCAGCTGTGTCAGAGCGGAGCGCAGCCGTTCTGTATCCTTCTGGCATTTAGCTGTGATGATTTGGAGCCTATGCGGTGATTTCCACTACAGAGTCATGTCTGTTTTTAATGCATCTCTGAAGATCACAGCCAGAATCCAGAATCAGTAATGAGTCTCTGAATCTGTCAGTGATATTATGTACTGTAGAGAAATACACACAGGACCATAACCTTCTTTAAAGTTGCTGATTATTTTTCTCATACAAGTTGCCGAACCTCTCGCCATCTTAGCTTCTGACAGACCCCGCCTCTTCCTTCTTATACCCTCTTATGTAACTGACCTATAGCAAATAAATGCATTTAATGAGAGGAGATCCTCCAGCGTCAACATCCGACATGTTTCCTTTGCACTGTTTGCAATTAAAGAGTTTTGCAAATCATCAAAATCTGTCTTCCTCAACATTTCACTCGGCGTCCTGATTCTCGTTGGTAAGTTGGGATTGTGGGTAACTAGGACACATAAACCTGTTGTAGATTTCAATAAATTCAAAGCTCTTGTGTCAATAAAAATATGCAACCAGGCAGCCCTAACTAAAGTGTAAAACTCTGATCAGGTAACCCTAATAAAACTGTGTTTATGACTTTACTATGAGGGTTGATTTTAAGACCAGTTAGCATGCTTTTGTGCTGTTCTTCTCTTGACCATTGGCTGGGTTTGTATTTATGCTGTGCTGTACATCAACAACGTGTATGTTTACTTTGCTCAAGGTTCAATCAAAGGAGAGGGGGCATCATAACCAGACTTTTGTACCATCAACATGTAATGAATTTTTTTAATCTATATCTCTTACCCACTGCTGTCATACTGTACATACTGTAGCTCCTTAGAGTTGGTTTTTGTATCATGTACGCCACTTTGAAATGGCAGGTATTTATGTTGGATGTCACGCATTTCACACTGGGTTAGTTTATGAAGTAGTCGATGCAGCAACAGTAGATATAAAGTTATAGATCGTGACTTATACATTCAATAAAACTAGTATTAAAATAAACGAGCCGAGCAGCCATGAAAGAAATAATCTGTGCCCAAAAAGACCATAAAAATAATCTCCAGTGATGTGAACTGTGATGGCTAATTTAATCAATGATGTGGACACGTTTAATACCGGAATAAAAAAGGACTGTGGGTTGTAATACGCCACGAGAATGAGGTCAAAGATGTAAATAGTATCTCAAAGAAATGACTGTGACGATCATGTAATTTTGTTTCGGTGTCGTTTTTCTTTAAGCGCTCCTCCATGCAGAGGTTTTATTTTGAAATGACGCACGCCTGCCCCCAAAATGTTTCAACAATAAGATGCTACTGAAAACAGGGCTGTTTCTCTTCTTTGTTTTTTCAATATTGGGCTTATAAAGGAGTTTGAATCATATCTGCAGAAGACAATTTAAAATTGGACTTGATGTATGAATATTTCCAGGAACATATTTTAGTGCTTTCCTCTTTTAGGATGAGAAATACCCGGTTTGTCGTGACGCGCTGAGCTGCCTGTGACTCACTGGGACAAAGTGGAAGTTTGACGGGCTCATGACAAGTCTGAGTAACGCCAAGGTCTGATTGGATTTCCTGTGCCATATATACAAAAAAAAAAAAAATGTGTCTCAGCCTTCTCTTTTTTCTTTTTCATGTTATTTTTTTATGAATCTATGCAGTCTGGGTCTGGCATTCCTGCAACTCCATGGCCATTTTGTTCCAAAGTCAACGATGATCATAAACAGAAGGTGTGAGCGTTTTTGTAAGGACTTCTTTTTTGTTTCAAATGTAACAGGATTGAAATGGGTATCGTGCCACTTTATGTTGATCTTTAAATGTGCAATAAATTATATTTCAAATGTGTTTTGATAAGAGTGTGTGCTGGTGTGTGTGCTGTCCTTTGACCTCCAAATGCCGTGCTGCTCCTGCATGACTCAGTGAGTAATTCTGCAGCGTGACAAACCAAAAGTTTGGAGAAGCTCCTGATGCAAAAGTCATTAATTCAGTTGCCTGAGAGACGAATCTGTAAGAGAGTAAAGTTCTCATGAATATTACATTTGGAAAAGAAATTAAGTTTGAATGAAATTCATAAAAACAAAAAAAGTAAAGCTGCAAATAGGATTGAGCACTTTTGTGAGAAGGTCCATCTGTCTGAGATAAAGGGGCGGGACTTAAAATTATGGGTGTGACCAACTGCCCAATTAAGGCCACGCCCACCAACTGCACCTGTGTCAAATGTGTCTTTGCTACACTGGGCTCTGACATAGTCTACAAGTATTCTATTGGTGCGTTCAAGTTTCCTCGGAAGTCAGATGTCGGAGCTGAAAAAGACGTCCCAGTATTTCTGTTACCAAGTCGGAGAAAAGCAAAATCGGAGGCCTGAAACAAGGTGAAGTTATTTTAGCACTTGCCTTATATTCAGACAAGTCAAGCGCTAAAATAACCTTCATAGATGTAGCTGGTAACTCGGGTGTGACGTCATTTTTAGCCTGTACTTCTGACTTCCAAGGTAACTCGAATGCAGCATATGCCTTCAAAAGAAGAATGTTGACAGGAATTCAGTGAGCCCGTAAAGACTTGAACAAGGTCATGTGAAGGCAGTGACTTACTAGTGCCAGTAGGTGGCACTGTATTTTTAAAAACGTGAATATTTTGAATTTTTACAATTTAGAATATGATGCAGATATGTTTATCAGTCTAATAAATCAAAATCATGACATTTCCTACTGCCACCAGGAGGCGCTAAAACCTGGATGAAATATTATCACATAAATGTGTGCAGGTCTTGACCCTTTCAATGCATAATGAGTTTCGGTTGGATTGGAGCATGTACACTTAAGAAAAAAACACTTCCTGTCTAATAATGAAACAGTAAACTTTTAGGGCTCGCCCTGGTCACACCCTTTCACTTTTCACCATGAAGTTCAGAGACTTTTTTAAGTCTTTGAAAGCCTGATGTGTGTATGAAAATTAATTTGTCTTTATGGAAATGCTTTAAGGGGCTCTATTTTCAAAAACTGTTAAGGGACACTATAGAGCCAATCATTTATGCTTATGTTAAATAGCATGTTAAGTATCAACACAGAATAATAATCTGAGGAATTCAGAAGTTCAGAAAGAAGGTGAAGGTCCAGAAATGAGCTGTAAACCGAAGTCAAATGTGAATTTTTAAAGCTTTTGTGAGGAACTTTTGGTTCTTGTTGATTTTGGCGCCCCCTGTGGATGACACAGTATGACCTCTGTGTTTGCTAATCTGGATGTCAGTGATCCGAATTATCCGAAATGTAATAAATATGATTTGTCCTTTACTTTTTACACATCCTACGGTCACTGAATAAGTGCTTCACTCTTGATGAAGTTTGACTTACTTTGCAAACAGCAGGAGTAATGATGGAAATAAGCTCAGGAATGCTTTCTTCTACCACCAGCAGAGTCCTCAAAGTTTCCCTTTTCTCATGGAGTAAAAACTCAAATATCCTGACACTGATCCTCTGCTGGTTATGAACTGATCTGAAGGGTTTCTGTCCACATGGGGGCAGTATTTGTCCAGGAGATCAAGGACCGGGAGCGCAGACTTGGAGCAAAACAAACAAGCTGAACCAGCTGCAGACTTAACAGAAGCAGATTGAAACCCACCTGCTGTGTGTAAGCCTCTTTTAAACAACATTAACCTTTAATGGTCATTTAAAGACAGCAAGATGGATGATGCCTCTGTCACGGGTTGTTCAGGCGTCTCATGGTGCCAAACTAGTTTAAAATCTTTAAATTTATCTTTATTTCTGAGGAGAAAACATGAAGAAACCAGAGATCTCACTGTAAAAGCTTAAATCAGAGATCTACAGCTGATGAGAAGCATTTTTCTCCAGCGTTTCCTGCTCTGCTGCGATCAAACGCAGTATAAATCAAATCAAAGCGTGCCTCTTTTTCACGGTATATATGCGGGTTTGTGTGAGAGTGTGTCTGACTGTTGTTTTTCCCATCTGCTGAGCCGCAGTGCGAGTCATTTATCTCAGTTATCCAGACAGTGTCAGAGCTCCATCTGTGAAAACAGTAAACACACTGACTCACACTCTCTAAGTGACTGCCACTGATAGCAGACAAGAGAGCGCTGCGGATTCACACAAGCATATAGTATGTCTGCACACACATGCATACTCACAAAGAAACTCACACAGGGTTACAGTTACTGTTTGTTTTCATCTCATTACAGTGACAGCAGCATGGCAACCCCTGAGAGGAGCTGGGTAATCGCTCGGTTTTGTTTTTCCTCTTTCTGCACTAATAGACCTCCCCTCCTTTAAATGCTGCCAGGTTTGTCTGCATACAGTCAGTGTAACTGAAGCTATCACAGCCCTTCGGTTACACTTGTAATAACATGATGCATCAGTTTGGTTTCGTCAAAGGTTTTGCCTGCCAGTCGTTTCACACTCACAGAAATATATACTTTAACTGTCCTGGGAGGAAACAACCAATTTTATCTTCTATATCTGGAAATATCAAGAAAAACTCAAAAAGACGAATCAACAAACTGCAAAACGGTTTCAAAGCCTTCCTCTCTTGAGTTCCCATATTTAGAGTCTCTCTGGTCCAAAAGAAACATGCTCATCGGTTTAATTAGACAATAAAATGCCCATAGATGTGTGTGTTTGTGTGTGTGTGAATGGTTGTGTGTCTCTATATCTCCCTGTGATGGACTGGCGACATGTCCAGGGTCCACCTCTTGTCTAGTGACAGCAGGGACAGACCCCGGGTACCGACAATCCAAAATACAATTCTGCAGAGATGGATAAACAGATGGATATATCGCAGTAACATAATCTGTGCTGCAAAGTTATAAATACAACAAGTAAAATCATGCAACAGTCTAATGTTAAAGCTCCTGTAAGGGACTTTGGATAATACCATACGTCCTCTTTTACTCTGACGTGTTCTCTTTTTCAGGGCTGTCCAGTTTTGTCCGGGGGAGATTATAAAATCCTTCAAATGTCCGAGGTTTTGTATGGAAGTTTTGAGCTTGTGTCGCGTAGACTTACTGAGTTAGAAGCACATAAAAAACACTCAACCCAACCCTAAAAATCCTCAAAATTTTGCGTGCGACTCCGCCCCATGTAGTAGTGTCCTCTTTTTGGGGATCCAGAATATGGTCACCCTAGATTTGCTTTGATTTTGAACAAAATAACAAACCATTAGAGCAGAAACCCCTGTGTTGAGGGTGACACCAATTCTCAAGTGCAAAAAACTTCACTTCTTGAAGAGTCGACTGCAGACTTGTCAAAAAAGCCATAAAAATCTTTGTAAAAATGCTCAGCGTTATAGAAAAAAACTGAATATTTTTTCTAAACTATTAAAAAACAGCTGTTTTGGTCTGTCTAGCTCATTTATATATTTGTACACTCTGTGAATTCCTGTTGAGATAACTTGAAGGTTTATTATTAAACACATATTTGCATTAATAAGGTGGATGTTTTGTAGTTTTTGACCAGACCTCAGCTTCACCTCTTTGCCTGAGTCTGCACTGAATAAAAAACAACATTCAGTATAATGTCCGCCATCATCAGGCCTCTGCAGATATTAGTGACATCTCAGACTTCTGTGTCTTTGTCTTATTCAGTTAAAGGTCTTATCTTGATGTTGATTCTGTCCTGCAAACTAGTTATTGAACTTTTTCTACCAGAATCAGATCCTGCTTTTCTTTAACTGTCAGAAGTATTCCTTATTTGTTTTGGAAGAGTAAAAACTGAGCTGTTTCTTGTCTGACACCTTCCTCACGGCAGGACTAAAACTTTTCAGACTAACAGACTCTTGTGGTTGATGGACCTGCTCACATCACGTTTAATCTCTGCTTGATTTACTCTGATTGGTTTAATCTACGCTGTAGGTTTGTGTAACTTTGTACCCATGAGGGGCGTGTGTGCGTAGCCTGATGTGTACCTCTTAAAAAATGTAACTGCACGTCAAAACAACACAAACCACAAACCCTGTGATTGGTCCTTCGGGCAGCGTCATGTTTCTCGCATTTACAGCATTTCCCATAATTCCCCAACTCTTTGCCGACACCGATTCAACACTCGTGTATTCAACCTCCTCTGACATCTTGACTTTTTTTCATCGACACATGAACCGCAGGATCATCAGCTGCTGCTCAACATTTATCAGCTTCAGCTTAATACACTCAGATCCGGTTCTCATGATGTCCTGAACACAAAGAAAGAGGATGTAGAGAAGGAAACTGGTGACATATCTAACAGAATGGAAACTGTACCGTCCGTTGGTGTTTGGGCGGAGTAATTCACTAATATGTAAAGCTCAGAAGTACACAACAGGCTTCAGTCCCTCCTTCTTCTAAACTACAACAAAACACCACTGATATGAGCCCTTCTGTATAATGAGTGATTTTAAGTTTATATTTCATGTTCATTTGCAGCTAATGCATCTTTTTTAAAGTACTAAGTCCTCCTCAACCAACAGCTCAACATCACACAACATTAAAGCGATTTTGGTGCCCCCTACTGACGAAACAGCACATTTCATTCAAGTGCCTCAACCCAAAATCTGCAGTTCCTTGAGTGTCCACTTGGCTGTAGTAACCAAGAAAACCCCTTTAGCTCCAGTTTCAGAGTACTTCTTCTTAAACTTGATAAAGGGATCTTTGACTTGGTTCCTGGCTGTCGTACGGCCAACTAAAAAATGACTGAAGGCTCATTTATGCTCAGTGCTCAGATCCGGATAAAGACGGAGCTCTCTGTCTGTGCTATACGTTCTTTTCGTCCATATTTCCGCACATATTCTTTAAGACTATGATGTGGAGAGCTTACCTTACAAACCAAAAACAAACACTGCGGCAAAATGGCCGCAACGCAGAGCAAATAACT